ATATGTGCAATGTTAGGATCTTACTACCCACTTAAAGGGAACTATCCTCATATTAGTCAAGTGGATTTTCCTTTTTCATAGTTTTCTCAAGTCATACATTTCCTGGGGAGTTGCTTAACGTTTAGACCATGACATCTAGTATGGTTTTCCTTTGTCTTTTCCAGAACTAGCAATTACCTTTCTTTCCTTCTCCAGTTAACAAAATGTTATCTCCAGCATATTGCTAAGATCCTCCAACTTCATATGAATTGTTTAATGGAGCCCATTCCATTCTTCATAAAGTTTCTCCACTGACTCCCTGAATTCTTAGTCTAACAGTAATACGGTTGGATTGTTTTCTCTGCTTATTGCAAAGTGGGTATCCTAGTCATCCTCAACTGCAGTCTCTTGGATTACAGCTACTGTTTATTGAAGCCTATCCTGCTGCCTTTCTTCTTTTTCTTTTACATTTTGTTAGAGTGAATCCTTTTTTTTTGAGATGGAGTTTCGCTCTTGTTACCCAGGCTGGAGTGCAATGGCACGAACTCAGCTCACTGCAACCTCCGCCTCCTGGGATCAGGCAATTCTCCTGCCTCAGCCTCCTGAGTAGCTGGGACTACAGGCACACGCCACCATGCCCAGCCAATTTTTTGTATCTTTAATAGAGACAGGGTTTCACTATGTTGACCAGGATGGTCTCGATCTCTTGACCTCGTGATCCACCTGCCTCGGCCTCCCAAAGTGCTGGGATTACAGGCTTGAGCCACCGCGCCCGGCCTAGAGTGAATCCCTTAATTCCCTGCATAATGGATATATGGAAATAAATTCCATGTCTGAAAACATCAGTATTAGGCCTCCTGCTTTAAATATTGTTGGCCACATATAGACTTTTAGGTCCAAAGTAATTTTATCTCGTAAGGTGGAAAATGTTATTCTGTATTCTTTCCAATATTTCTGATGGGAGGAAAGGCTAAAACCATCTTGGTTCTTGTTATTTTTAGGTGACCTAATCATGTTTGAAAGCTTTTAGAATGTTCTTTAATATTCTGCAATTCCATAAGCATATTTCTGGATTTTCCAGTTTTCCTAGTTCATCCTATCCAACATTCAGTGAGCAATGCCAAGCTGAACTTGCATGCCTTGTTTCGATTTATAAAGACTCTCAATCATTCAGTTGATGCATTCTTATATTTTGTTAAATTTTCCCCAAAACATAGATACTGGACTTTGTAAATTTCCATGTCCTTTTTTGTTTCTCATTTTTTAAAATTTACTCATCTAGAGTTGTTCTTTCTGACCTTTATTAAATGTATTGCAGCAGCAATTTTTTTGTATTTCTTAGGAGTTCTTATCTAATTGTTTTCTTTATTTTGCAGTTTCAAATCTCAGGCTAAAATCGGTATTTCATTTTCTTCTGTTATTACATGAGTTTTCCTAGTCAGGATTCAATTCTCTTAGTCCTTATTACGCCGAAAGTTTTCTTCAAGTGACTAGGTTATCAGTTTCCATTTAAGAATGAGATGGTTTTATTACCATAGGTAAATGCCGGGGGAGCCCTTTGTATATTTTCACTGTAGGTCTGTTTCCCTAAATGTAAAGGGTTACCAGGGTATCTGTATGCCTGGGAAGGGCTGGCAAGTCAAGGAGAGATTCTCCAAATTCCAAAAAAAGTTTTAATTTAGACTGCCAGCTTTTCATTCTGGGTGTTCTAGTTCTTTGTAAACTGATTTTTTTTTCCACATTAAAAAATGATTACATTGATGTTTAAAACTTCAAACAGTGGCTGAAGCCTGTAATCCCAGCACTTTGGGAGGCCAAGGTGGGTGGATCACGAGGTCAAGAGATCGAGACCATCCTGGTTAACATGGTGAAACCCCATCTCTACTAAAAATACAAAAAATTAGCTGGGCATGGTGGCGCGTGCCTGTAATCCCAGCTACTCAGGAGGCTGAGGCAGGAGAATTGCCTGAACCCAGGAGGCGGAGGTTGCAGTGAGCCGAGATCGCGCCATTGCACTCCAGCCTGGGTAACAAGAGCGAAACTCCATCTCAGAAAAAAAAAAACTTCAAACAGTACAAATAACACTAAATCTGCCTTTGGCCAGAACATCCCATACCAGTCCCTTCCCAGAATAAGCACTTATCAGTTGAGTGACTGTTGAGAACTTTCACTAAGCATTTGAATAATTCTACCAATGCATTAACTATCAAATGATATTTTAAAATATACAATAGTATATGCCAAAAGTTTTGCATTTTCAACCGGTAACTCCTTTAGTCAAATTCGTATCAATATGATCAGCCCATTCTTTTAAACTTCTGCATAGAAATTCTAGTTATTACCTTAATGACAGAAAGTTAGGTTGTTTTCAGTGTTTCAGATACTAACTAAACCCTACAATGACGCTATAGTGAGCATTTTAACAACTCCACTGCCTCTAAAGTGGCTGTCATGAGAAATCCTGTCTCTATACCACTACCGATATTTGCTATTATATTGTCTAAATTTTAATCTCTCCACCTCTGATCCCAGCATTTTGTGAGGCTGAGGGAAGAGGATCACTTGAACCCAGGAACTGGAGACCAGCCTGAGCAACAAAGTGAGACCTCATTTCTCCAAAATAAATAAATGAATAATAAATGAGCAAATTTGCATCACTTAATACTAATGAGGTTAGCAGAGACTTACATTTATTTCATCCATGATTTGCCCATTTATGTGCTTGCTTAATTGCCCTTTCCTTATTGACTTATATGTATTTTTGAATCTGTCCCTTATGTTACAAATGTGTTTCTTCCTTCCTGTTGCTTATCTTTTACCTTTCTTCAAAAGCACACCAATTTTTCTGGTTGTTGAGATGGAATTTTGCTCTTGTGGCCCAGGCTGGGGTGCAATGGCACGATCTCAGCTCACTGCATCCTCTGCCTCCCAGGTTCAAGCCAGTCTCCTGCCTCAGCCTCACATGTGGCTGGGATTACAGGCACGCGCCACCACACCTAGCTAATTTTGTATTTTTAGTAGAGACAGGGTTTCTCACCTTGCTGGTCAGGCTGGTCTCAAACTCCTGACCTCAGATGATCCACCTGCCTTAGCCTTCCAAAGTGCTGGGATTACAGGTGTGAGGCACCGTGCCTGGCCAAAAGCACACTGAATTTTTGACACAGTCATCGATATTTTCCTTTATGGTATCTGAATAATTTAGAAGGACATTTTTGACACCAATGACATTAACATATCCTGCTATACTTTCTTCTAATACTTTTGCTTTAGTAATTTAATTTTGATTTTTATTTATTTAGAACTTATATTTGTGAATGACGTGAAACAAAGATCCCATTCAATTTACTTATACAAGAGAGGGGAGAGTGAAGAGGCTTTTGGCAAGGGCTGCTAACCTAACTTTCACGTAGAAAGGGCTTTAACAGTCTTTTCATCATGTCTTCTTAGAAGCCACAGCTTGCACACAAGCCAACTCCACGCCTTAACTTCTCTAGGGATCCTTGAGCACACTAGATCCCATTTTAAAAACCATTCAGTCATTCACATATAACATGCAGCAGCTTCTGCCACATTTCACAAATGAACACTCTTCTCTGTTTTGTCTTTTACAAAATTATTTCATCCACTCAAAAGCCTGTTTTTTTGAAAACATCTTTTAAATCGTTGTATGTATTTAATGGGATCTAGAGGGAACGACAACATTGTGTTCCAAGTTTTGAACTTCGAAATAAAATTCTACTTTTCCCAATTAAAATTATGAAGTTGACAAACTGCCTACCATAAAGTTTGTACAAACGCATGCTCTTTTAAATTAGTGCATAGTATCTCCTTTCCTATGCTTTCAATGCAAATTTTTATTAATCTGATATTGAAAAGGTAGTATTTCATTGGTCTAAACTGTATTTCTTCTGATCATAGGGTACTTACCACATATTTATTGGTCACCTGTTACCTCTTCATATCCTTAGACTATGAGCTGGGGAAAAAGTGTCATTTCCTAAGGGATTTTTATGAGCAATTTTATGTTAAGGATACAAATTCCATAGTTTATATGTGCTGCATAATTTTCTCCCATTTGTAGCTTGAAAAAAATATTTTTTTTTTTTTGAGACGAAGTTTCGCTCTTGTTACTCAGGCTGGAGTGCAATGGTGCGATCTCGGCTCACCGCAACCTCCGCCTCCTGGGTTCAGGCAATTCTCCTGCTTCAGCCTCCTGAGTAACTGGGATTAAAGGCACACGCCACCATGCCCAGCTAATTTTTTGTATTTTGAGTAGAGACGGGGTTTCACCATATTGACCAGGATGGTCTCGACCTCCCGACCCCATGATCCACCCGCCTCGGCCTCCCAAAGTGCTGGGATTACAGGCTTGAGCCACCACACCCGGCCGCTTTAAAAATATTTTATCTGGTCGGGCTCGGTGGCTGACGCCTGTAATCCCAGTACTTTGGGAGGCTGAGGCAGGCGGATCACGAGGTCAAGGGATCAAGACCATGCCGGCCACCATGGTGAAACCCGGTCTCTACAAAAAGTACAAAAAATTAGCCAGGCGTGGTGGTGCGTGCCTGTAGTCCCAGCTACTCGGGAGGTTGAGGCAGGAGAATTGCTTGAAACCGGAAAACAGAAGTTGCAGTGAGCCAGGATCCTGCCACTGCACTTCAGCCTGGTGATTGAGACTCTGTTTCAATTAAAAAATAATTTTATCTTTGTTTATACTATATAAAGTTATTATGCAGTCTAACCTGTGACTTGTTATCAGGAGGTGGGGAGGCTTCTGAATGTCATGTTTAGGAAGGCCGTTCTCATTCCATGACTAGAGTGTGTCATAGAGTTCTTTAATCACTCTTTGTTCCAAATTTAGATGAACCACATGAAAGTAACTTTCACATATGGAAAGAATTGTTGTATAGAGCAGGATGGATTGTTCCAATACTGCTAAACCACTGATGTGATATGTCACTTTTGTTATATATTTTCTTCATAGGTGTAACGGCATGAATATGTATGTATACACATACATGTTAAAATGTTACAAAATTTATTAGAATTCTGTTAGGTGGAATCTGTAATTTATGGGCTCCTGACATCTGTATGACGGCGAATCAGTCTTACCATATAAAGAATATTTATTCATCTTCCTTTTCATCTTACATTAAATTTTCATCATTCTATTTGTATCTAGAGTCATATGTGAATTGGTTACTACATGGATTATAAGCCAAAAGACTTCTGCAGTCAGTCAGGAATTAATGTTAAAAGAGCTCAGATGTAAAGGATCAGGGAGTGGTTTTAATGTTGGAGAAATGGAAAACACATGGCCTGCTGAAGGTATTCTTATGTATTTTAAATTTGATGCATACACAATTGTGGGCCAGTTTATGAGTACTGACCCATAGTTTTGGTTTCTTCATTAGTTTTGAAATTTTAGTAATTTAACAACCTTTATTATTTTAAATGACACAGGTTTGATATAATTCATTCACCCAGATTTAGGACAGGTGTTCAAACTTATACTTTATTTTCTACTCTTCATTGGTTACTGATTAAGTTTTCCTTTTAATTTTGATTTTGCCTTTGTTGACATGTAGATGATGAATACATCTCAGTAAACTGTCTTATTAAAAATGACTTTTTAGGCCGGGCACGGTAGCTCACGCCTGTAATCCCAGCACTTTGGGAGGCTGAGGTGGGCAGACTACCTGATGTCAGGAGTTAGAAACCAGCCTGGCCAACATGGTGAAACCCTGTCTCTACTTAAAATACAAAAAATAGCTGGGCATGGTGGCACGTGCCTATAATCCCAGCTATTCAGGAGGCTGAGTTGAGAGAAGTGCTTGAATCCAGGAGGCAGAGGCTGCAGCGACCTGAGACTGCACCATTACACTCCAGCCTGGGCAACGGAGCAACACTCTGTCTCAAAAAAAAAGCCTTTTTAAATAAGACACTAGTTTCTCAGAACTGTTAAATATCTCGTGAATGCTGTGATAGAAGCCACCATCTTACCCTATATCGTGGACTCTAATGTCAATCCCACTGTACTAGATACCCTCCTTCCTCACCTACCTTTAGAAAAATTACTAGCATTCCTAATAAAAAAAAGTCTCCACAATCTCTCAGTCCTGAGCTGCTGCATCTCTTTGTATTTCTGAGATAATCATGGCTGAGATGATTGGGTCTTCTATGTATAGCATGGTTCTCTTTCTACTTTACAGTAATATTTTAGTAATTATGCTAGGCACGCTGCTGAGCAATTTACATGCATTATTTCATTCTTCTATTAACTTTTGAGGTAGAAACATTATTATTCCCACACTATAAATAAGACTGAAGCTTACAAAGCACAAAATGTTGCCTCCAAATTAGAGGGCTAGAAAATGGAAGTGCAAAGATTGACGCCCAGATCTTTTTGATCCTAGATTATGTGTCTTAATCCTGGATAAGAATTCAGAGAATGAGATGGATAGTGACCCAAGATAGGACTTTGGAAGGTAGCCTGGAAAGGGTATTAGAAGCTAGGTTTTTAGGCTATTTTGAGGAATGTGTGCTTTAACTTAAAATCTATGAGATGTCACTGAGGAATTTTAACGAGGGAGAAATGAGATTAAACATATTTTTTTTAAATACAAATTTGGCTGCAATGTGGACAGCTGACAGAGACATGGTGAATACAAGGAGACCAACTGAAAAGCTACTCGAGTATCCCATGTCAAATATATTAATGTGCATTGGACAAGGATGATGAAATGGAAATGAATTAAAGAGGTTAGATTCCAGACAAATTCAGGAGATGAAACCTACAGGTCTTGGCAACTGATTAGATGTGGAGGGGGAGGGGGAGGAAAGAGTCAAGAATGACTCCATAGTATGAATTCTCTCATGATGAGCAAGATGTGCACGCTGCCTGAAAGATTTCCTGCAATCTTTACATTCATAGGGTCTCTCTCCAGTATGAATTCTCTGATGTAGAGTAAGAGATCCACTGTAGCTAAAGGCTTTCCCACAAACATTACATTCATAAGGTTTCTCTCCAGTATGAATCCTCTGGTGTTGAGCAAGGCCTGCATTCTGGCTAAATGTTTTCCTACATTCCTTACACATATAGGGTTTTTCTCCAGTATGACTTCTCTGATGTTGTGCGAGTGATGAACTATTGCTAAAGGCCTTCCCGCATTCAATACATTCATAGGGTTTCTCTCCAGTGTGAACCCTCTGATGTTGGTCAAGGTATGCAATTTGGCTGAAGGCTTTCCTACATACTTTACATTCATAAGGTTTTTCTCCAGTATGAACTCTCTGATGTTGAGCGAGGTGTGCATACTGGCTGAAGGCTTTCCTACATTCCTTACATTCATAGGGTCTCTCTCCAGTATGAATTCTCTGGTGTACAATTAAGTACCCACGATGGCTGAAAGCTTTCCCACACACATTACACACGTAAGGTTTCTCTCCTGTATGAATTCTCTGATGCTGAGCAAGAAATGAACCATTACTAAAGGCCTTTCCACATTCAATACATTCGAAAGGTCTCTCTCCAGTATGAACTCTCTGATGTTGAGTCAGGTGTGCAATCTGGCTGAAGGCTTTTTTACATTCTTTACACTGATAAGGTTTCTCTCCAGTATGAACTCTCTGATGTTGGGCAAGGTGTGCATTCTGGCTGAAGGCTTTCCTGCATTCCTTACATTCATAGGGTTTCTCCCCAGTATGTATTCTCTTATGTTGAGCCAAGTTTGCACTCTGGCTGAACGTTTTCCCACATTCGACACATGCATAGGGTTTCTCTCCAGTATGAATTCTCTGATGAAGAGTAAGGGAAGAGCTCTGGTTGAAGACTTTCTCACAGTCATTACATTTCAGAAGTTTCTTTTCCATATAGACTTTCCTTTGTTTCATTTCAACAGATTTTTTTCGGTACCCTTTCTTTTGTGCTTCATGCTTATGTTCTTTTTCTCTGGTGGGAAAACGCTGTTGCGTACCGAAGACTGTATCCTGAGGCAATGTTTGCCAAGGTTTGTCATATTCTTTACTTTGAACTTCTGGAAGGATTTCTTTATGAGTGATGATTAATTGACTAAGATGTACCTCTTGACTTCCCAACTGGTTCCTATACCAGTCCTCACTTTGACAGTCTTCTCTCAAACTAGGGTAGTCAAAGGCATAACTAAGATGTCTTGTTCCCACTGTCACAACTTTGGATGACTCTTCATATGTCTCTTGCTTTGATGAAAATTCACTGTTTTTAAATACATACTCCCAATCTAAAAGACATCAAGAAAGAAATGTCTTTTGTATTTATTCACTAGAAGAAATTTCTAAAACAAAAACGTGAATAAAATACATAAGTTCAAGGATTTAAAAGCCTATAATGCATTCTAAAATAATGACATTATAAATAATAAGAACTTAAGAGAGTTGATTAAGGAAATAATAATTGACAACCAGTAAGGTAATTATAAGAACAAAACAATTAAGTTGGTCATCTAAAATCACAATCATCTTTTTATATCTAATAACAGATTTCAAATGCCTTTCCTCCCTTGTCATAGGTTGTCTTGCATTCAAGTTAAGTTATCTTTAGTAAGCCAGTTTTATGATGTTAATATGACTAAAAACCTCCATTGAAATCCCAGGCCTAAAAACAACACTAGGCAGTATTAATATCCTTATTAGGATACACATAAAACTTTACGATTCTTCACATTGTTCATAAAACTCTGTGGGTAAACATCCACAGTTAGAAAAAAGTCTTCCTGAAAATCATTTTCTATGTAATCAATTCATTCCCACCATATGTAAATTTTCAATTGATTCCTGAAGCTAAGATGCCTTTTAGTTTTGTATCAAACTTCTTGGTCTTACTAACCTAGCACAGAACATAATCTGCCTTCCCCTGTCCAACTCCAAATCAGATCACTTCATTTTTCTGCTTTAGATTTTCCTCTAGTTTCTTACATTTATAATAAAACCCAAAGTCCTACCGTGGTTTATGACTTGATGTTCTCTGAACTTATCTTCTACTACTCTCTTGCTTGCTTAATCCACTTTATCATATGGGAATTCACTTTATTTCCACTTTAGGAACACCAGACTTGCTGTTTCTCTACCTGAGAAGCACTTTCCACAGATATCTGCTTGATCCCTTCTCTCCATGCACTTCTTCATTTGAGGTTCTGTTCACACAGTACCTCCTTAGTACGGCCTTTCCTGAACAGCCAATATAAAGTATTACACACTCTTATGTTTCTATTCTCCTGCTTTGCACTTCATAGCACTTAACTTATTTAATGTCATATCATATGTTAACTTACTCTCCATTATCACTACAATGTAAGCTTTCATGTGTAGGAACTTCTGTTCTCACCCTTGAATACCCATTGCCTAAAATAGCCTGGACAGATAGAAGGTGCTTAGTATCTTTGGAATCAATAATACATAAAACACCACACTAATTCATCCTCTTATTAGAATGACATGCTTGCATCAATGGGGTAAATGTCTGAAATCAAATGGAATGTTACCACTAAACTGACTATTATAGTGGATAATGAGATTTGGAAGGAAAAGAATCTGAAGGCAACATACTTAAATTGAGGCTGCTGGGCCGGGCACGGTGGCTCAAGCCTGTAATCCCAGCACTTTGGGAGGCCGAGGTGGGTGGGTCACGAGGTCAAGAGATCGAGACCATCCTGGTCAACATGGTGAAACCCCATCTCTACTAAAAATACAAAAAATTAGCTGGGCATGGTGGCACATGCCTGTAATCCCAGCTACTTGGGAGGCTGAGGCAGGAGAATTGCCTGAACCCAGGAGATGTAGGTTGCAGTGAGCCGAGATCGCGCCATTGCACTCCAGCCTGGGTAATGATCGAAACTCCGTCTCAAAAAAAAAAAAAAAATTGAGGCTGCTAACTCTGTTGTGCTGCCTCAGTGCCCTTCTAAATTCCACTTTCCTCTCTAAACAATTGCAAATCACACTCATGAATGCCCTATAGAAAGTCAAGATGAAGATTAAAGTCTGAAGACTTGTGGGTAAAAAAGAAATAGGAAATGACGGCCAAGGAGCACTGACCTCATTAACCCAGAATGAAGTTGATAAACTATAATAATGAAGTAAAAACACAGGTTTAGTCATTGATAAATACTAATTCCCATTAGACTGAAAAGTGAAGGATAGATATAATCATTATTGGCATCATGCTTACATTTTGGAGTGTCTCAGAATTACAGAACTTGCTATAATACAGCTTGCTATACCCATGCAGAGTTTCTGGTTGAGTTAGTGGAGGTTGAGGGCTGAGAATCTTCATTTCTAGTAAGTTCCCAGGTGAAGCTGCTTGTCTCAAGACCACATTTTGAGCACCACAGCCCTACAGCACCCACTACACGCATAGTATTAAAAAGTATAACAAGTCAGCAGATAAATTAAAATGGAATTATGAAAATATTCAAACATCCCAGAAGATGAAAAAAGATGAGGAAATATTTTCTGACAAAGAGAAAACAATAGTGAACCCAACTCAAATTATAGAAATAATTAATTAATGAACTACTTATTCAGTTAAAAGGCAGTTTACAGGAATTGACAAAATGAAAGACACAATTACATGCTGTTTAATGCTAGCACTTTGGGAGGCCAAGGCAGATGGATTGCCTGAGGTCAGGAGTTTGATACAAATCTGGCCAACATGGTGAAACCCTGTTTCTACTAAAAATACAAAAAAACTTAGCCAGGTGTGGTGGCATGTGCCTGTAATCCCAGCTACTCGGAAGGCTGAGGCAGGGGAATTGCTTGAACCAGCGGGTGGAGGTTGCAGTGAGCCAAGATTGGTGCCACTGAACTCCAGCCTGGGTGACAAAGTAGGACTCCGTCCAAAAAAAGAGAAACCTCACATAACATCCAAGAATACATTACAAATAAATAGTAAATAGATAAAATGTAACATGCAAACAGTAAGCATAAGGCTAGACTGACTATATTCATATCAGATAAAATAGATTTTAAAAGTGAGTATTACCAAAGAAAAAGGGACATATGGTAATAATAGGACCAATTCATCAGAAAGAAATAATCCTTAATGTATGTGCACCTAATATAAAGCCTCAAAACACATACAACAGAAATTGAAAATGTAAGAAATATGTAATCCTATAGCTATAATAGATGAATAACACATGCTTTGCTCAGAAACTGACAAAACTAGGAAAAAATTGTAACAAGGAGGATCTCAACAGGGTTAACTACTTTCATCTAATTTACATTTATACAATGCTACACCCTACATCTGTACGATATGTGTCTGAGTGCACACGGTGTGTTCAGTAAGTACGATAGACTATATGCTGGGGCATAAACCAAAATTCAAAATTCATAAATTCAAAAGTACCGAAACTGAAGAGGGTATGCTGTCTAACCTCAACAGAGGTTAGAGGTTATTGATTTTTAAATCAATAATAACTAGTAAACTCCAAACATATGGGAACTAAACAATACATTTCTATATAAATCATGGGTCGAAAAGTATAACAAGACAAATTAAAAAATATCTTGATTGATAATGAGAATACAACATATCAACAGCTAAAATGGCACTTAATTAAAGGAAAATCTACAGTTTTCAAATGCTTTTATTAGAAAATAACTAAAAGTCTAAAAATCAATCATCTAAGATGTCACCTCGAGAAGTTGGGAAAAGACCAAAGTAAACTTAAGGAAAGTAGACAAAAGAAAAAAGTTAAGAAAGAAAATTAACAAAATAGAAAAGAAACAACAGAGAAAATAAAACCAAAAGTAGGTTCTTTTAAAACATGAGTTGTCAAGGAAAAAAGAACAGAAGTCAGCAACACCGGAGGAGTTACCATTACACATCCTACGGCCATTTGTTAAAAATGTTAATAAATTGGACAACTCAGATGAAACAGAAATCTCTTGAAAGATACACCTACCAAAGCTGATTCAACAAACACCAGAAAACCTGAATAACTCCATGTCCATTAAAGGTGTTGTGTAAAACATATTTCAGGCCCCTGTGTCTTCACTGGTGCATTCTATCCAATATTGAAGGAATAAGTAACACCATTTTATCCAAACGGTGTCAGAAGATAAAAAAAGATAAAACGACTTATTTTCTCAAGGCCAGCATTATCTCGATACTAAAACCAGATAAAGAAATTATAAGGGCCACGCGCGGTGGCTCAAGCCTGTAATCCCAGCACTTTGGGAGGCCCAGGCGGGTGGATCACGAGGTCAAGAGATCGAGACCATCCTGGTCAACATGGTGAAACCCCGTCTCTACTAAAAATACAAAAAATTAGCTGGGCGTGGTGGCGCGTGCCTGTAATCCCAGCTACTCAGGAGGCTCAGGCAGGAGAATTGCCTGAACCCAGGAGGCAGAGGTTGCGGTGAGCCGAGATCGCGCCATTGCGGTCCAGCCTGGGTAACAAGAGCGAAACTCCTTCTCAAAAAAAAAAAAAAAAAGAAATTATAAGAAAGTAAACCTGCAGACCAGTGTAGAACATGTACAAAAGGCTAAATCTTTAATAAAACTGTGCAAATAAAATCCAGGAAAATAAGAATAGCATCATCTTGACCAACGAGAGTTTATCCCCAAAATGCAAGATTGGTTTCACATTTGGAAATCAATCAATGTATTTGTTTACATTGTGTTAAAAAAAAAAAATCAGTGTGATTCACCATATTAAAAGAGTAAAGAAAAAAATCACATGATCATTTCAACAGATGTAGAAATAGTATCTGACCCACTTATTATAAAAATTCTCAGCAAACCAGGAATAGAAAGGAATATTTTCAAACTGATCAAGGACACCTAAGAAAAACTTACAGCTTACATTGACTTAATGGTAAAAGATACAATGTATTCCCCCACGAGACTGGAACAGCACTAGTACATCTCCTATTACCACTTCAATTACACATTATACAGGAGGTCCTGGTCATTGCAATACATCAAGAAAAATAAGGTATAAAGATCAGAAGGAAGAAAAACAAATGTATTTGTAGATGGCATGACTGTCCAGCCAGAAAATCCTCATGGACCTACAAAATAACTGTGAGGGCAACTATTAAATGAATCTAGCAAGGTTGTAAGATGTAAAGCTAAAATAAAAATCCATTTACATTTTTGCATACTAGTGGCAAACATTTAGAAAACTGAATTTTTAAAAATGCTATTTATTATAGTACTCAAAAAACTATTAAAGACTTAGGAAAAAAAATTTAAAAGACAGAGACCACTACAGTGGATACTGCCAAGTATCCTTAAGATAAATTTTATTGGCTAGGCACAGTGGCTCACACATGTAATCCCAGCACTTTGGGAGGCTGAGGCAGGAGACTTACAAGGTCAGGAGTTCGAGACCAGTCTGGCCAACATGGTGAAACCTTGTCTCTACTAAAAATACAAAAAATCAGTTGGGCGTAGTGACAGATGCCTGTAATCCCAGTTACTCGAGAGGCTAAGCCATGAGAATCACCTGAACCTGGGAGGCAGAGGTTGCAGTGAGTTGAGATCGCACCACTGCACTTCAGCCCAGGTGACAGAGGGAGACTGTCTCAAAAAAAAAAAAAAAAAAAAAAAAACCATAAATTTTATTATTTTTCCTTTTTCTTTTTCAGACAGAGTCTTGCTATGTTTTTCAGGCTAGTCTCAAAGTCCTGGGTTCAAGCAATCTTTCCAACTCAGCCACCCAAGTAGCTGACGTTACAGGTACACACCATCACACTCAACCTCGAGACATTTTTAAAGACTAAGAAATGGCTTAATAAGCCCTATTTATATTAGAAGACTCAATGTTAAGAGATCAGTTCTGTTTCAACTGATGTATAGAATCAATATAATTCCAACAAAAATCTTAGTGTTTGAGCAGAAATTCTCAACTTCATTCTAAAATTTATATGAAATGCAAATGATCTAAAATAGCCAAGGCAATTTTACAAATTGCATGATCTGACATCAGCACTTACTAGAAAGCCATAATAATTAAGGCAGTATGGAACTGCTGAGAGAACAGACATACAGATCAATTAAACAAAAGAGATTCCAGACCCAGATGCACACACATGTGGCCAAGTGATGATCAGGAAAACTCGCAAGGTGATGCAATGAGAGGGAGGTATCTTTCCTGAAAAACCGCCTGGGGCGACTGAATATCCATACAGAGAAAACAGATGAACCCCAACCTCTACCTCACACAAGGCACATAGAGCAGCTCAAAACCGTTCACAGTGCTAACTGTAAAAGCTAAAACTTGAAGACTCCTAGAAAAATGTCTTTGTGACCTGGCAGTAGCAAGAATTTCTTAGATATAGCATAAAAAGCATCAACCAAGACAAATGAATAAATTGGATTTTACAAAAGTTGCAAACCTTGCCTCCAAGTTGGCAGTAGAAAAACAAAAAAGGAAGCCATAATTGGCATACATATATGCCAATACATATAAATGACAACTTAAGGCCACATGCAGAACTCTTACGACTCGTAAGAGAAACAATCCAATAAAACATGCAAAATATTTGAACAGACTTCATAAAAGTTACATGCATGGCTAGGAAGCATATGAAAAGACGCTCAAGATTATTAGTCATCCCAGAAATGGATATTAAAGCCATAATGCAACCATTAGAATGACTAAAATTAAGAATAGTACTGACAATACCAAGAGCTGGTGAGGATGTGGATTAACTGGAAGTCTCATATACTGCTAGAAGGAATGGTGTAATCCCCTCAGAAAACTGACAGTTTCTAACAGAGTTAAACGTATACCTATCATATGACTCAGTTCTTCCATCTTAGCTGTTTACCCCCCGACCCAGAAGCATATATGTGTTCACACAAAGTCCTGTACATGAGGGCTACACAGCAACTTTATTTGTAATAGCCCCAAACTGGAAACAAATGTCCATCGACAGGTAAATGGACAAATGAAATGCTGCATTCATACATGCAACAATATGGATGAATTTCAAGATCACTATGCTGAGTGAAATAAGCCAGACATAACAAAATACATACTGTATGACTCCATTTACTTTGCATACAAATTCATCTAAAATGGCAAAGATTAGATTCACGTTTGTTTGGAACTGGGAGTGGAGAGGAAGACAGATGGAAACGGACACAAGAATCTAGGGTGACAGAAATACTAAATGTGTCTGGATTGTGGTGACAGTTTCATGGGTATATGCAAGTGTCATCAAACTGTACAATTTATATGTATCCGGTTTAGTATATGTAAATAATTCCCTAATAATAATACTGTCTGAGCAAATATAATAAAACCAGAAAACTCTCTTTTAAACAACTCTGAGTGAAAGAAAAATATTTTTAAGGTAATTATCCAGTATGAACAAAAACACTAAGTGTCAGAATCCACAGGAGATGACAAAGATAAACTTAGAGGAAAATTCATGGTCCTTAGTAATCTCATTACTGAATAAAAGAATGAAATTAATAGATTAAGCTCTCATTTCAGCACTATGGAGATTAAAATAAGTAAGAAAATTAAAAGGAAAGAATTAGAAGAAAAAGTTTTATGAATTAGTAAGGAAAAAACAGAAAATTGGAAAAGAATGATACTATTACATAAATCTATAAGCTATGTCTTTAAAAATAAACTGATTTATGAGTAGAGCAACCTAATAAATATATTTTTAAAAAAAGAATAGTTATACAGAATAAGAAATTAAATATATTCTTTTTAAAGAAGAATAGCTATACAAATAAGAAATTAAAATTGGAAACCATTATAGATAAAAAAGCAAGAAAAATAATTATAGATTGGCTCAAATTCATGAAATCTGATAACAAAAATGAAAAGGACAATTATCTAGAAAAATTAAAATGCATAAAATTTAACCAAAGACAGGGCTGGGTGCAGTGGTTCATGCCTGTAATGCCAGCACTTTGGGAGGCCCAGGCGGGCAGATCATTTGAGATCACAAGTTCAAGACCATCCTGGCCAACATGGTGAAACCCCATCTCTACTTAAATTACAGGAAAATTAGCTGGGCGTGGTGGTGCATATCTGTAATCCCAGCTACTTCGGAGGCTCAGACAGGAGAACTGCTTGAACCTGGGAGGTGGATGTTGCAGTGAACCACTGCACTCCAGCCTGGGAAACAGGGCAAGATGCCATCTTAAATATATTAAAAATAAATAAATATATATATGTTTATAACCAAAATATATATATATTTATAGAGATGCCATTTACCGTGGAGGATAATGAGAACGTTGCCAAAGATTCACTTTCCCACAAAGGCCTCAGCATCAGGCTTCAGCTCTCAAACTTTAGGACCAGTGAACCCATTCACTCACGCCGACATCTCTGAAGCAGACTGTTTTCTGAGCCCCTATCTTCTAAAGCAGTTGCATGTTGCATTTCTTTGCTTGGAACTCTCCCCATCTCATAAATATAACTCTCTTATGTCCACAGTCAAGTTCAGCATCTTTCCTCCTTTCAGCCTATTCTCCTGATTGTTTCTATTAAGCGTTACTGTCTCCTAGTTATCCAGACTTGAAAATTGGCTTTCTTTTTGCTTTGCTGGTGTATAAGCCTCTCTGAATAATTCCAAGAATCTAGCAGAACGCTATTCTCACAACATAAAGTCAATGAGTCTTGGTAAAAGAATAAATAAATGAATGCATCAGTCCTTCAATCTAAAAGGAATAAGTAATTGAGAAAGGGGAAAAAAAGACTCAAAACCCTGGCTTTTTTTTTTTTTTTTTTGAGACAGGGTCTTGCTCTGTTGCCCAGGCTGGAGTGCAGTGGCACAATCTCAGATCACTGCAACCTCCACCTCCCAGGCTCAGGTGATCCTCCCCACTCAGCCTCTCACGTAGATGAGATTACATGTGCATGCCCCCAGGCCTAGAGAATTTTTTTGTTGTTGTATTTTTAGTTTTGCCATGTTGCCCAAGCTGGTCTCGAACTCTTGAGCTCAAATGATCCACCCACCTTGGCTTCCCATAGAGTTGGGATTATAGGCACCTGGATTTTTGAAAAATGATACGAAGCAACTTGTGGAAAACTAAAAGGCAAGGACAAGGAGAGGCTGTGACATTTGGATCCAAGAATAGGAAAATGGGTTATGAGAGAAGAAGTAACTTGTGAGAGAATACGGACAGAGAGAACAAACTGAGGAGGTCATGCTAAAGATGCCTTCATATTTCCCAGGTCTTGAGTCTTTAGGAAAAGCTACCCAGGAAACGTCAATTATGATCTGAAACCTTGCCGAATTGCTGAGCTTTTCCTGGCAATGGCTTCCATCTCCCTATTTCTCTCTCACTCACCGGGGCATGAACTTCTTGTTCCCTCCTTCTTCACCATCCAGGGCTCTTTTCCTTGCTCCAATAATGAGATCACATCTGGCTTAGAAACAGAAACTCCTGCTTACAAGAAATAAAATGGGAATTAGGCACATCTATAAATGAGATCAAGTTTCGGATCATCAAGAAGGTGGGAGCATACTGGAAGGGAGCCGAGGAATAAGAATGGGGAAGCAGAGCTGCCAATTCTACAGATTCAACCTACTTTGGGAAGCACACGAAAGGGAAATTTAGTGAAGCACATCAGAGGTTTCTCAAACATTACACTGGAGCTTAGTCCCCTGTACGGATTCTGAATTACAGGGAGCCTTTCTTACCCAGTGATACCAAGGTCCTGTAGTTCTCCAACATCACTTTCCTATACAAATTCCTCTGAGCAGGGTTCAGCCACTCCCATTCCTCTTGAGAGAAATTTACAGCCACATCCCCAAATGTCACCAAATCCTGAAACGACATAAACACATTCTTACTCAACCAGTGTTCATATCCTCACATGAGCCTAGGTTAAAGAGTTACATTGTCGTCCGGGCGTGATGGCTCAGGCCTGTAATCCCAGCACTTTGGGAGGTCAGGGTGAGCAGAACACAATGTCAGGAGCTCGGTACCATCTTGGCTAACATGGTGAAACCCCGTCTCTACTAAAAATACAAAAACTTAGCTGGGCGTGGTGGCACGCGCCGGTAGTCTCAGCTACTTGGAAGTAAGCAGAGATCGCGCCACTGCACTCCAGCCTGGGTAACAGTGAGACTCTGCCACAAAAAAAAAAAAGCGTTAAATTGTCTATACTTGGCCAGGCGCAGTGGCTCATGCCTATAATCCCAGCACTTTGGGAGGCCGAGGCAGGTGGATCATGAGGTCAAGAGATTGACACCATCCTGGCCAACATGGTGAAATCCCGTCTCTACTAAAAATACAAAAATTAGCTGGGCATGGTGGTGCGTGCCTGTAGTCCCAGCTACCAGGGAGGCTGAGGCAGGAGAATTGCTTGAACCCAGGAGGCGGAGGTTGCGGTGAACCGAGATCACGCCATCGCACTCCAGCCTGGGTAACAAGAGTGAAACTCTGTCTCAAAAAAAAAAAAAATTGTGTATACGTTTAGAGAGAAACATTGCACGTAGCAAACCTTTCTGACAGTATCTTAGCTTTTGAGCAACACGTGTCATGTAACTGCTCGATGACTTCTTTGTGGTTTTGATATTCTATCATGGAAAGTATACAATTTGAGACATAATCTTACTGGTGGAGAAAGGATTTATAACGCACAAAACTGGACAATAACAGAACACTGTAAATCAAGTATAAAATATGTTATTCATACTAAATGCCAGACTCTTTATCAATATTGGAAAACCAGACGCACTGGGGCAGTAAGGAACTGCAAGAAGGAAACAGGCAGAGTTAAGCTTTGTAAGGTGTACATGGCTGAACCTGGCATTTTTCCAAACTTTGTACAATGTAATGGTCAATGTTCCAGAGAATCAATAGGGCTGCATAAAAGTATATATAATTATGTTCAATGCTTATAACATTGACTTTCTAAAATTAAATAAATATGTAACAGAAACAGTAAACAAACTTTTATACTGACTTGCAAAAATATGGCTCAAATGTATACCGTAACAGAGAGCAATCAAGAAGCTGAGTGACAGATCACCTGATGTGAGAAAATATGCCACTGAATCTATGCCTGGCCAAGACAACATTTGCCAACCAGCTGTCAAAGTGATGCATCTCATCTCGCTGATGACATCAGGGATCTCATGCATTTTTTACATTTTACACTACACATTTCACAATGACAACCTAGGTCTTGTGTGTGTTGTATTTTAAATATTTGTTTTACACAAAGTCCTCCCCTGTGGATGGTTTAAATGAATGGAAAGGCATATGGTTTAAATGACTAGCAGCTTGATGTCACAAAAGGTATCTGAATCAGGCCAGGTGTGGTGGTGCATGCCTATAGTCCCAGGTATTCAAGAGGATTAGGCAGGAGGACTGCCTTGGATGCTTGAGTCTGGCCTGGGCAATATGGTAAAGACCCTATTTCTAAAAATAAACAAACAAAAAGGTATCTGAATCAAAACAAGAAAAAAGTCACAGATAAAATGAAGTTGATCTCAAAGACTGTGACATCTAATGCCTTGAGAAGAAGAGTAATATCATAATAAATGTTTGAATCTGTACCCTCAGTACTCTATAAGAAGGAATCAAAGAAGTATAATAAAAGTTATTTCAATTTGGGACAAATTTCCGTTGGAAATAAAATTTTTCCTGAGACTGTGTGTAAGGGGCAACAAATGATTGCCAACAGCTCTTAATAACCCATTCAGTTGTAAAGATAGCTGGCAACTTATAACCATGCTATGTAAGAGACAAAATCATAGTAATTTAAGCACTATTCATTCTCTTAAATAGTGAACGTCTCCAAGTCTGATAATAAAATGCATCAAAAAATACCTACAGCTCTCACTGGAGAAACATACACAACTGTGTCTGATGAGCAAGAGAGTTTTTAAAATGTTACAATACAGCTCTTAATACTACTACTGCAAGTTGAATTAAGGATCTTTAAGATAACATGGAACAAGACCTAGTTTGCTCCCTAAAAATTAAAAATGGGTCTTCTTCCTAACAGGATAAATCAGCTCAAGACTTACCAGGGCTTGCCGTATGGTTAGGCATATGTGTCTTAGTTTTGACATGTTACGGAGCAAAGCCTGCTCTTAAGTTGGGCTGACATACAGATGGCATTCAGTGGCACACCTGAACAGCTGTCCTGATTTCTTAAATACTGAAATATTGCCACATTCATTGGCAAACAGCTACTGGACTGAGTGCTGCTAGTGACCACACCAGATTTCCCCACAAGGAATTCAGCAACTGAAGCTTAAATGCCCAGCACGGCAGCAAACTCCAGGATCCAGCCTAGGATAAGCTCTGCTGTGTGCCTTTGCCTTGTTGGTTGTCAAATATGAACATCACCCCTACTCTTGCACTACTCTTTGCAGAGTAATGCGCCTACTGAAGAAGTATTCAAATACATCAGTGATTTAATTCAGAAACATTTTTAAATGGAAAAAAAAGTCAATGTTAATTGATGTTGCCTGAACAATGCACAAAAATGTTAAGGAGGTTTTCTATAAAGAAAGCAAAAGTATGGCTCCAGGAAACATCAATTACATGCGCCAGCTGTTTAAAAAGCATCCATCTCTGACACACTTCTTAATACAAGGAAATCTGAGGAAGTGACTTGTGGCTTCAAAGAAGGAAAGGAATATGAATCAGGTTTAAAAATTAAAACCTGTGCAGGATAGAACTACACAGCGAATCATCAGTTCTACTGAAACTCAAACACTTCAATGCAAACTCTTTAAAATTTTATGCAGGAAAGTGTTCCACACACATCATTTATTCTATAGACATTAGTGAAGTAGCTTTTGCTACATGAAGTCCCTAAAAGACATTTTTTAGCTGCACACATGAACTAATGGATTCTGTGTTTTACCTATCTGACATTTTCCTCTCAGCCAATGAGACCATGAACACCTTGCAAATGTTTTTTATATTTATTTTGATTTAATTTAAAAAATTGCCATCATTAAAGAAACTTAAAATATAATATCCAGCATTTCTTCCTTCTTTTATTTTTCATTTCCCCCTACTTTTTTTTTTTAATTTTAGGGGAGACAGGATCTTGCTGTCACCCAGGCTGGAGTGCAGTGTTACAATCATGGCTGACTGCAGTCTCAACTTCCCAGGCTTGAATGATCCTCCCAACCTTGGCCTCTCAAGGAGCTGGCACCACAGGTACTCACCACCACGCCCAGGTAATTTTTTTTTTCTTTTTGATACACATGATGTCTCACTATGTTGCCCAGGCAGGTCTCAAACTCTTGGGCTCAAGCAATCCTCCTGCCTTGGCCTCCCAAATTGCTAGGATGCTGGGATTACAGGTGTGAGCCACCTCATCCAGCCAATTTTTTTCCCTATTTAAGTTAAAGAATTGGAAGTCTTTCATCCCCATGCCTACCCACTCCTGTGTCACCCTGCCTCCTAAAGCAATTATCATTTACAGTTAGCATAATCTGTTCAAATGGTGCCTTCTACTTATGTCTATGATTATATATTCACTTACCTATAGTATCACTTCTCTTGGCTGAGTAATATGACATGGTATAATTATGCCCTATCATATTTACTAACTCCCATGCTTATTTTCAGCTGAGTAAATCTTCATTTTTTTACTATAATGTTGCATAGGTCTGGAATTATTTTCTTAAAATCGATTCATAGAAGTTGTTCTCTCCATTGAGGATTTCACAAAACTGCTTAATCTCAAAAAATGTTTTCATTGCACTACTTTGACCCAGCAACAATAGGGTCAAATTGTTTCTGAACTGAAAAAACAATTCAAGGTGGAAGTAAAGTGTTGGCTTACACTTGAAGACATACCAATAAGAGTTCTTCAGGTGGAAGTAAAACGGAAGCATGAGAACACAGGGACAAATGAGCTCCAAAGCAGTAACTATAAATAGAGCAATAATAATGTTGTGGCGTTAAATCACCATGGGCATCTTACTCTGTTGAGGAAGTGATAAGGGTACTAATCATAGGAGGAAGATCACAGAAGAAAGAGGACTACTTATGAGTAATGGATGAGTATTAGCAAGCCTCCTGTCTTGCCTTCTTTTCAAGCCTAGGTCTCTGGGAAAGCTTTATTTATGCTAGTGGTTACATCTGACCATGCACCTCAATCTAAATGAATCAACTTACTACAGTGAAGTGTATTTTGCCTCTTGAGAGCGTCAACAGAACACTAAACCCAGAGGAGGTGCTGAACTATTTCCTGAATGAAGATAAACATGCTGGCTGTGGATAAAAACGATAACTAGTCTTTTAGGGACTTATTTTTACTGGAAAGCAAGATATGAGAAATGAGTCACTGGATGAATGGAACCTTGTTAGGCTGGAGAATTTTGGAAGAAAAACAAAATGTTCTTATAACCTAAAAAGTAAGATGACATTTTAGGGAAGAGAGAAGAAATGCTTCCTTACCTTGGACATGGCTTTAAGGATTCAAGAATTTGACAGTTCTTCTGTCCTACTCCTGTAGGCTCCTCTCTGGGAGAGGGACAGTAACCTGAGAATGCAGAGCTAGAGAAGGAAAAGAAACCATAAAATGCCAGGCCCGCCCTGCAGCTCCCAGTATCAACAGCCTAGAAACCTTTCCTTCTCATTCTCCCTCTTTCCCCAACCTCAGGAATAATTAGAGGTATCACCAAGTAAGTCATTTATATCTAAACTTACAATTCCTTTACCCACATGCTTGGGATCTTAAGAATACAACATACATGTTCTCTGCATGTTACCTCCTCATTTATAATTCAAAACAAAAACAGCAATTACAGAATGGCATTACCAAGCAGGATTTTCCCCTTTCACACATGAAGGCTCTTCATCGGAGTCATTATTACCCAAGGCACCACGGTAATACGTAATTAGGCCAAACTGGAAACCAGGGCTAACTTTTAATCCTTTCCACCTGATCATGATGTTGAAAGGCAATATGTGCCCACCCTTTCTGCAAGGATGAAAGACAAAGCTATGAAGTGAAATGTCTCAGAGAAAGCATCTCTGTACACAGAGTGAGTACCAGAGGGGCTACACGGTGTGGTGGACACTCCATCAGAGAGTCAGGACACCCTACTTCAGGTCCTAGCTTATGACAACCCGCACCTGAAAACCAGTCTCTTGAGTTTTATCAGCAATTTCCTCAGAGAGAAATAAGGAGAGAGGGAAGGAGGGGCAGGCTATGCATGAACAGTTATCCAAATCCCCTATCAGGAATTCTTGTCCACCACACCTCACTGCCTTGAAGAATAAAGCCGTTACCTAAGAAGCAGCATAACTTAGTGGTAAGAGCCACTAGACTTCAGGATCAGAACACCTGGTCTCAAACAGCCTACCTTTGGCAAGTTTGGTAACTGTTCCAAACCCGATTCCCTATCGGTGAAATGGTAACTATTCCAAACCCGATTCCCTATCGGTGAAATGGTAACTATTCCCTATCAATTGCTGGGAGGGTTCGGAAATGATTTACATGAAGCATTTAGCACAGCGCTTGGCACATCTTTGTTAAATAAATTGTCATCTTTCTGTCATTTATTTTTATAAACAGCACGGCGTAGGTCTCCCATTCCTGTTTCCTCTCAAATTCCTCACATGCCTCCAGAGACTGAGACGGATGGAACAACTACTGTGCCAGAGGAGCAGCGGCCAGCGTGGTCAGCTTTACAGGCCTAAGGCTGAGGTTCCTGTCTGTCTCTCCCTTTCCAGCCCTCTTCCCCTTTCCCTTTCTCCATCTTTTCCCTTCATCTCAATCCCTCTGTCTCTCCACCACAACAGCAGTCTCCCAAATCCCAAAACACACCAGCATCTCCAAGCACCCACACAGCTTCCTGTCCACACAAATCACAGGCAACAAACCACAGAGTCTCTCATTCTGGCACCTCTCCTGGCAACCTATGAACATGCCCCCACATTGTAGCCTGCCCTGTTCTCACAATGAATGGGTCATAAAGGCCACTCTGAGTCACAGTGTCACACTCATTGTCTGGATGACACACAGCGTTAAGTCACACAATGTCCCTCCATCTCACATAATCACACACTGTCATGCACAATCCAAACACTGTCACAGACAATCTTACTCCAATAACACAAACTGTTCACATAAAGTTTCACATACAGTGAGTCTCACACAGTCACACAAATTATCAAACACTGTTGCAGTTTCACATAGTCCCACACCAATGGCCACACACTGTACACAATCACACAGTGTATCACACACACGGTGACATGGTGTCACATACTGTCACATTCTCACATGATCCTACACACATGGCCAAAATCTGTTCACAAAGTCACACACACTATCACTTACATGATCCACCACACACAGGTCAAACACACAGTAACACGGTCTTACACACTGTTCACACACGGTCTACACATAGTGACAGTCTAACACTGTCATACATTCTCAGTCTCACACATGGTGATGTGGTCTTAAACACGCACAGTGTCACACAGCCCCACAGTTAAAGTCTCCTGCATAGACAGGCAACGGTCACACAGTCATTCTCACACCCAGTCTCACACTGTCACACACAGAACCACGTTTGTTCCAGATGGTGTCACACGGACACACATTTACAGTCTCATACACATTCTTACACTGTCACACACTGTCTCACATTGTCACACACGGTACTGTCACACACATTCTCACACACCGTCTCACACACTGTCACACATTCTCAGTCTCACACATGGTGATGTGGTCTTAAACACACACAGTGTCACACAGCCCCACAGTTAAAGTCTCCTGCATAGACAGGCAACGGTCACACAGTCATTCTCACACCCAGTCTCACACTGTCACACACAGAACCACGTTTGTTCCAGATGGTGTCACACTGACACATATGTACACAGTCTCATACACATTCTTACACTGTCACACACTGTCTCACATTGTCACACACGGTACTGTCACACACATTCTCACACACCGTCTCACACACTGTCACACATTCTCAGTCTCACACATGGTGATGTGGTCTTAAACACACACAGTGTCACACAGCCCCACAGTTAAAGTCTCCCGCATAGACAGGCAACGGTCACACAGTCATTCTCACACCCAGTCTCACACTGTCACACACAGAACCACGTTTGTTCCAGATGGTGTCACACTGACACATATGTACACAGTCTCATACACATTCTTACACTGTCACACACTGTCTCACATTGTCACACACGGTACTGTCACACACATTCTCACACACTGTCACACATTCTCAGTCTCACACATGGTGGCATGGCCGCTGCCGGCGTCCGCTCCATCCCGCGCTCCTCACCGCCTCCCTCCAGTGGGCAACTCCTTCGGCGCGGTCCTTGGAGGCCGGGGCTGGGCCAAGGCCCGGGCCAGGACTCGATCCTGGCTGCCGGCCGCGCTCACAAAGGCGCCCGAGCGCTCGGGCAGGCCGCAGTGGCCGCTGGGAAATGGAGTCCGGGGCCGGCGCGGCGCAGAGGATGCTGGGATGGTGGTTGAGGGTCCCGGGCGGCCGCAGGCCCGGCCGCTCCGTCCGGGTAGTTTCTGCTGCGGCTCGTCCCCTAGTAATTCCACCCCTGCTGGCCTTCCGAACCCCACCCGGACCAGCTAAGCCCTCTCAGGCCGTTGGTTCATCCACCAGTTCCGCCCGAGGCCTGGGCGGGCCCGCTGTGACTGCGCAGGCGCAGCCTGCCTGGGTCCCCCAAAGGCTGCGAGGCCCGGGTGCTTGCGCCGTGATGCGCACGCGCAGTGACCGAGCCCGCGCTTGAGCGCGCGGGGTGAGTCTGTGAGCCCAGCACTGAGAAAAGGGAGCTGAGGACCAGTGTGGGGCCTGAGCCAGCTGGAGACGGGACCGGTACGTGGTACGTGTGATTGAGCGCTCCCGCGGCCCGGCCTTTCTCTTCCCTTTCCCTTTCTGTTTCTTCTCTCTCCGCCTTGCCCTGTGTTTCACTTGCCATTTATCGAGCGCCTACCCTGTCGGGCACAGCGGTAAACAAGCAGACAAAACCCCCACCTCGCGGGGCGGCAGTCGAATGCGGGCATCATTCCGTGGGAAAAAGTGAATAATAACGGGGACTGATGCATGCTGGGAAGTAGTGCGCATTATCAAGAAAAGCGAGGCAGAGTATTAAGGTCATTCGTTCGGGTCTTCGTTCTTTGAGTTATTCTTCATTCTCCGAATCGGTGGGAAAAACACAAAGCGCTTTTTTTTTTTTTTTTTTCTGTTCTCTCAACGACAACTAAGCATAACGGAAGACTTCTATGAGCAAACCTGGGGGAGTTGCCCCCCACACACGAAGCGAGCGGTGGGTTCTGCAGCGGACCGCAGCTGGGTGCCCTCCACTTCGGTTCCGACGCTGTCTCCTTGCAGATGGGTCGGACACCATTCGCTGACGCTTCCGTCCCAGGCCAGCCTCTGGAACTTCTGACCCCGCCAGCTTCCAGTTGGGAGTTTCACCACCTCCTCTTCCGGTTCACTGTTTTGTGAGCGTGGCTCACAGAGCGCAGGGAAATACTTGTGTTTACTGGTTGATTACAAAGGATATAGATGAAGACGCGCACAGGGCCACGTACGGAAGACAGGGCGTTGCACCTTTCAGGAGTCTCCACCTGTTCCGTGGGGTGGAAGCTCTCCAAACCCTGTCTTTTGGGAGTTTCACAGCGGCTTCGTGGCATATGCATGGTTGATTAAACCAGTAACCCTCCTCCCTTTGAACCCTCCCTGGAGGTTGGGGGTGGGTTCAAAGTCCCAACCTTCTAGTCAAGCATTGATCTTTTCCATAACCACTTCCCATCCTGAAAGTACGTGGGAGTTGCCAACTATCAGTCAACTCATTAGCACACAAATTTAACTCTTATTTTGCCGTTCCTAAGGATTTTTGGAGTTCTATGCTAGGAAATAGGATGAAGATCAAATATATATATTTCACAATATCATACTCATTCCTTCTCTTCGACCTGTCTTTGAAAATATTTTTATAAACTCCTTTGTCTAGCTCTCTCCCAAATCTGTACCACCCCTTCTAAAATCCTGTTTTACCCTTCATTTCCTTTATTTAAATGTCTGACCAAAGTTGCCATGACAAAGAGCATCATACAGGCTGGAAATTTTATCTTTAGGAAATAAAAAAAAAAAATACAGCTATGCTATTAGCAACAAATATTAATTGGAACATTGTTTATAATAAAACGTTGAACATAAACAATATGGCTATGGTCGCAGGTAGCAAGTAGCTAGGGCCTGTTAAACAAAGGCGGAAAAGAAGACAGCCTCTTTGTTTTTTTCAGACGGAGTTTCGCTCTTGTTACCCAGGCTGGAGTGCAATGGCGCGATCTCGGCTCACCGCAACCTCCGCCTCCTGGGTTCAGGCAATTCTCCTGCCTCAGCCTCCCGAGTAGCTGGGATTACAGGCACGCGCCACCATGCCCAGCTAATTTTTTGTATGTTTAGTAGAGATGGGGTTTCACCATGTTGACCAGGATGGTCTCGATCTCTTGACCTCGTGATCCACCCACCTCGGCCTTCCAAAGTGCTGGGATTACAGGCTTGAGCCACCGCGCCCAGCCGACAGCATCTTATTTACCAAGACAATCATAGGTATAGGAAGGCAGATTTATTAGAGAATATGAAAATAAATTGCAAGGTTGCAACTGGCAGCACAGCAGAGAAGGAGCTGTCTGCAGAGGCAGGAGCTGGAAGGAAGTTTTATAGGGTCACCCCGGAGGAAGCTACTAAGAATGAGGTCATAGTGACCTCAGGTTGTCTGACTAGCCATCTCTCAGAACAATTGTTCATTGTTCTTCCCCACCTGGGGCCCCTTCCTCATGGTTGTTTACTTATCAGGACTCCACATGTACAAGTAGAAGAATGGTCAAATAAATAGCAGTAAGTTCTAAACCAAAAGGTATCGGAGACAGGTGTCAATTTAGAAAGTTTATTTTGCCGTGGGAAAAAAAATGCAAAAAAGATCTGCATTTTTACATAAACAATACGTCTGAGGAAGCAATCAGATATGCGTATGCATTTGTCACACGAGCCTCAGAGGGGTGACTGAGTTCTTTCTGTCCTTTGTCCAAAAGGAATTTCCTTGTGAGCAAATTGTGAGGGAAGTATGTAGCTTTTTATCTTTACAGCTATCTTATTTAGGAATCTAGGCAGGTTTGCCTGACATAGTTCCCAGCCTGACTTTTCCCTTGGCTTAGTGATTTTGGGGTCGTGAGATTTATTTTCCTTTCACATCTATCTGATTGAAAACTATACAACTTTTAAAAAGAATGATCTCATGGCAGTGAAGCAACATGTGAAAATACTTCTTAAGTTTCTTAAAGGAGGAACAGAGCTGGTAAACTTGCATTGTGACTGCAACATTGGAAAACTTTCTACGAATAAAGAGTAAAAGGAGCACAGTCTCCAAAACTTGTAGTCGGGTTGTGTTTGAATGTTGAAGTTATGCTCTCTTCCCCTCATTCTTTCAAACCAGACAGACAAGCCTTGTGTAAGGTAAGGCAGCAGTAAACTTCCAGGTTTTTGCAGTCTTCGACATTTCACAAATGTGTGAATGAAGAGAGTAGGCATCTTTATGAAAATACATTTGCAAAAACTCTATCAATGAGAAAAACTGACAGTAAATTGAGCTGACCCCATCTATCTTTCCTTTCCCTTAATTACTCCTGGGCTGTAGGGCTGAGCTAACTTTGAAGACTTTTAGGCTATAGTTTAAATAACAGGCCTTGGCCAAAACTCAGTTGCTTTTGTAAAGCTAATGGGAGGCCAACAGGCTGGGAGGAGGAGAGGAGGCTGCATGCTGTAATGGTGGCATAGACATGAACAACCGTCAGCCATTCTTCCAATTACTACTGCAAATAACATCTCTACTGTAGAACCTCAGACTGGCCTTTTGAGATATCTTTTCAGGTTTTTTCACGTCTGACACCCATGGCTCCACCTGGACCTGACGGTTCCACCAGGACTAACCAACCCAGCTCCTGTGGCACCACCCAGAAGCAATTCAGCCCGCATGAGGGCAGCTTTGACCCTCTATGATTTCATCTCCACCCCAACCAATCAGCAGCAAGCACCCATTTTCCAGCCGCTCCCACCCCTTTCCCCAAACTGACTTTGAAAAACCTCTAATCTAAGCTTTGGATGACATGATTTGAGTACGAACTCCATTTCCCATGTGGCATGGCCACCCTCGTGTCTATCAGATGTCATGGTCCTTCTTTTTGCAGTAGGCAGGAAGAGCCCCTTGGGCAGTATTTACATTCAGCCCAGGAAGCTGGGTGGTGACATTTTTTTGTTTTGGGCCATTATCACTTAAGCTTCTCCTTCGGCAGAACCTTCTACAAAGCTTGGTGAGAGTCACTAAGTAAACTGATTTGCATAAAAACCACATTTATATTTGTCTCAGGTGAGCAGCAACTATTTGGGCTGGTGGCACAGAGGTAAAAGAACTTGCCAAGACAGTTGTGGGTGAAGAAAGGCAGATTTATTAAAGACAGTATGAAAGTGTGTGGTTAGGGAGCAGCAGGCAGAATGAGCGGAAGAGGAACTGACTACAAGGAAACAGAGGCTTGCTGGAGACTATAGGATGGTCCTTGGGCTGACTGATAATGCCATGGTAGCAGGGCGCTAACTTGCATTCTTCTGTCACCCAAGGTGTTTGATGATAAATGGACGCATGCCTTTGATGATAAGCAGGAAGTCTGTGAGTTATGTACATTATTTGCCCAGGAGGACTATATGTCCTGAGCCATAAAGAAAAGCAGACTGACAGCTTATCTGCTTCCTTTTCTTGTTTAAATGTCCTAGACCATGAAGAAATGCACAGTTTATTTGCTTTATGTCTTTGCTGTCCCTTGGTCCACCAGCCTAACTCCTTTTCCCAAAGTAGGAATCAACATTCTTCCTAGATGGATAATCAGCAGAATTTTGTCTACCTAGCACACCCAAATTTAACACAATTATCTCTGTGCAAAATCTTGAGGCCAGTTCAAGACCATTCTGGGAAACACAGCAAGTGTCTCTCTCTCTCTCTCTCTCTCTCTCTCTCTCTCTCTCTCTCTATATATATATATATATATATATATATATAATGCTAGGATTACAGGTATGAGCCACTGTGCCCAGCCGAGTAACTTATTTTCTTCTTGCTAAATGACATATACTTGTGATTATGCTGCTTTTTTAATATATATTTTATTAATGGAATTTTCTTTTCTTGTATTTCAGAGAAAGAAATCATTCCAGCTAAGTCTCCATCAGCTGATTTCTGTTCATCTCATTCTACTGAAACTTAAGATTCCTGTTTCCACCTCTAAAGGTCTTTTCTAGGTTGTCATTCCCCTCTAACTGTGGACCCTGTGACATCATGAGTCATCCTGCTCTTTATGAGAACAAGGGAGTCCTTCCTTACGGAATGCAGGATTTCCCAAGCAAAGCCTTCCTCCTAACTTGCTCCTTTTACCAATAGCACCAGTCAAACTGTCACTTCAGTTTCTTTCATCCAGGGCAGCTTCTCATATTCCAATATATGAACTCATAAATGACTTAGAAATGTAAACTCCTGCAAGAGAAAATAAGAGACTTGATTTAAGGGTTCAGACTCTGCCCCTTAGTCATTAGGAGACAGAAACCACTGTGTAGCCAGATAGTCTTTTGGAGAAAGGGAAAGATAAAGTTTCACGTAGGGGTCAACAGCTGCCGATTACCAGGCCTCAAATCTGAAATATTTGTCTGTGAACAGGAGTCATGACGCTCAGGAGCTGCTTGGAATTTCACCACTAAGAAACAAAATTATATCTGGACAGGAGTTACACTTGCAATCACTATGAAAAGACATCTTAATCCCACCAGCCAAATCCACAGTTTTCTAATACCACATCCCGAATCATATCCTTTCATGCTGGCTTCAACCAACCCTACTCCTTAGAGAAATAAAGGCCACATTCTTGAATGTCTGCAGGCCAAGAAATAAACGCACAGTTATCTGCATGCTCTCGGAGGATTTGTGGAGTTTGTTAAGACAAGGGAGATAATGTTATGATCACGCTTTTATCCCGAGTTTAGGGTGCTGAGTTAAACAATACTAGATTGGTTAAATTACGGAACAGCAATACAGTCAACTACTACATGGTTAAAAACGTAATTACAAATATGTTCATGTTTAACTTCAGGTAGAAAAAGCAGTTTACCTGTGGCAAATACTCCTTTTGAAAAGTATAACTAAGGCCAGGCGTGGTGGCTCACGCCTGTAATCCCAGCACTTTGGGAGGCTGAGGTGGGTGGATCACCAGGTCAAGAGATCGAGACCATCCTGGTCAACATGGTGAAACCCCGCCTCTACTAAAAATACAAAAATTAGCTGGGCATGGTGGCGCGTGCCTGTAATCCCAGCTACTCAGGAGGCTGAGGCAGGAGAATTGCTTGAACCCAGGAGGTGGAGGTTGCGGTGAGCCGAGATCGTGCCATTGCCCTCCAGCCTGGGTAACGAGAGCGAAACTCCGTCTCAAAAAAAAAAGAAAGAAAAGTATAAGTATAGTTAGAAAGATAAACAGAAGGGTAGAGATAGATGGATGGAATTAATTTGGAAAATTATACCCTTAAATTTCAACTGTAATTATCTCCAGATTGTGGGATTATCGTTTTATTTATTTATTTTTGAAACGGAGTTTCGCTCTTGTTACCCAGGCTGGAGGGCAATGGCTGGGTTCAGGCAATTCTCCTGCCTCAGCCTCCTGAGTAGCTGGGATTACAGGCACGCACCACCATGCCCGGCTAATTTTTGTATTTTTAGTAGAGACGGGGTTTCACCTTGTTGACCAGGATGGTCTCGATCTCTTGACCTCGTGAGCCACCGCGTTCAGCCTAGTTTTATGTATTCTTGTTTTGTTAGGATAACTTTTTAATTTTCTTACACTCACCATATATTTCTTTAGAAAATATGTTTTTAAAAAATCATTTGTTAAATGGAAACTTTTCTTCAGGTTTCCCAAGGACGAGAAATTTTCTTTTACATTCAAAATGTACATTTTTTGCATTGAAAACAGAGGTGGCCATTTCATCATCTTCTAAATTTCTCTGTTTTCTTTTATTTTTTATTTTTATTTTATATATATATTTTTCACTCTTCAGCATATACAACACAGTGGATCTTCGAAATTTCTCTTTGGCAGATTAATGAATGTGAGAAAGCAGAAGTGGTAGGGAACAAAGTTAGCCTGAGAGATGGTTGGCTTTGCACCTGTTTGGTCCTTTGCCTTCTCTTCCCCCATAAACACACGTGTACATATAGACACACTCCCACAGTCGGATGTTAAAGGGAAACCAGAGCCACTCACCCCTTCCCGAGATCAGAGAACACAGGAAAGATGATGACGAGTTTCGCATCTACCCTCTGCTCTTGAACTCACAACACGGTCCTGAACCACGAATAAGATCAAGTAGAATACATTTACAACTGTCTCCTTGAACTGTCCACAAGTGTGAAATTCAGCCATCCTTGCTGAAGTTGTCTCTTGATATTAGTAATAGGCAATAACCAACCTCTGAGCTTTGCTTTTATTATTATTGTTAATTAATTAATTAATTTATTTTTTGAGATGGAGTTTCGCTCTTGTTACCCAGGCTGGAGTGCAATGGCGCGATCTCCGCTCACCGCAACCTCCGCCTCCTGGGTTCAGGCAATTCTGCCTCAGCCTCCCGAGTAGCTGGGATTACAGGCACGCGCCACCGTGCCCAGCTAATTTTTTGTATTTTTAGTAGAGACGGGGTTTCACTACGTTGACCGGGATGGTCTCGATCTCTTGACCTCGTGATCCACCCGCCTCGGCCTCCCAAAGTGCTGGGATTACAGGCTTGAGCCGCCGCGCCCGGCCCTGCTTTTATTATTATATCATTTGACCCTCAAGACAGCTGCAAGCCCAGCACTACATTCTTCCTTTTACGGACAAAGAAAATTAAGAAACTAGTAAATGGCTGAGCTGGTATTTGAATCCACATCTGTCTAACTCTAACAGTGTGCTTTACACTACATCACTGTGCCTGCAAGGAAAACGCAGCCTCTACCCTCTCCTGAAGAATGTGTAACGGGGCAATACGCTGTATTTTGGAAAAAGCATCTTTGCAGAAGGAAAGCATTAGCTTCAGTCACATTGTCACCCTTATCCAGCAGCGAAGCATTATTTTACATATATTAGCTCAGTTACTCCTCAACAACTCAGTGAATTAGATGTTATAATCATCCCCATGTGGAAACCGAGGCACATCTCTAAGACGAGTTCAGACGTTCTGGCTCCAGTGTTAGAGATGGTTAAGCGTTCACACCCTTAACCACTTACTACAGCATAGAGGTAACCAGGTCTAAGGAAAACACGATCAAATCAAGAGACGGTAACTCTAACTCGGGGCCTGACTCAAGGACAAACTAGCACCTCGGACAAGGAGGGCTTCCCCATTCTGAGACGCAGTGGTTCACACCCTTAACCACTTACGACAGCATAGAGGTAACCAGGTCTAAGGAAAACACGATCAAATCAAGAGACGGTAACTGAACTCGGGGCCTGACTCAAGGACAAACTAGCACCTCGGACAAGGAGGGTTTCCCCATTCTGAGACACAGTGGTTCACACCCTTAACCACTTACGACAGCATAGAGGTAACCAGGTCTAAGGAAAACACGATCAAATCAAGAGAATCAAGAGACAGTAACTCTAACTCGGGGCCTGACTCAAGGACAAACTAGCACCTCGGACAAGGAGGGTTTCCCCATTCTGAGACGCAGTGGTTCACACCCTTAACCACTTACGACAGCATAGAGGTAACCAGGTCTAAGGAAAACACGATCAAATCAAGAGACAGTAACTCTAACTCGGGGCCTGACTCAAGGACAAACTAGCACCTCGGACAAGGAGGGTTTCCCCATTCTGAGACACAGTGGTTCACACCCTTAACCACTTACGACAGCATAGAGGTAACCAGGTCTAAGGAAAACACGATCAAATCAAGAGACAGTAACTCTAACTCGGGGCCTGACTCAAGGACAAACTGTAGCACCTCGGACAAGGAGGGTTTCCCCATTCTGAGACGCAGTGGTTCACACCCTTAACCACTTACGACAGCATAGAGGTAACCAGGTCTAAGGAAAACACGATCAAATCAAGAGACAGTAACTCTAACTCGGGGCCTGACTCAAGGACAAACTAGCACCTCGGACAAGGAGGGTTTCCCCATTCTGAGACACAGTGGTTCACACCCTTAACCACTTACGACAGCATAGAGGTAACCAGGTCTAAGGAAAACACGATCAAATCAAGAGACAGTAACTCTAACTCGGGGCCTGACTCAAGGACAAACTAGCACCTCGGACAAGGAGGGTTTCCCCATTCTGAGACACAGTGGTTCACACCCTTAACCACTTACGACAGCATAGAGGTAACCAGGTCTAAGGAAAACACGATCAAATCAAGAGACAGTAACTCTAACTCGGGGCCTGACTCAAGGACAAACTAGCACCTCGGACAAGGAGGGTTTCCCCATTCTGAGACGCAGTAACAGGTCCCGACCTGCGCAGCTGGCACTTCGGACTCGGATCATCCTGGACCGCGCTGACTCGGGATGTGTCAAGTCTGGGGCTTCTCACACCTGATGACTATAAAAGCCGCCTACAAACAACAGAGAATTAACAGCTCTGTGTGGCGGTCTGGGATTTGGCCAAGAGATGCCGCCCCCCAACAGGAAAACTTCTTTACATCTTTGTGACGTTTGTTTTGCGTTCTCCTCCAGGACCCACATTTAATTCACCACAGATGTAATGTTTCCAATTAGCTGCCAGATACACTTTTACATTTCCAAACTTAAAGGTTCCTTCCAAGCCTTCTGGTGAAACCGCTGCTCCACGGAAATAGGAACTTAATGGACGAGGGAATCCTCCACAGCTGCGGACAGTTGTGTATCCAGCGCTACCCCGTCCCAGTCACACACCCAACGACCCACGTGGAGTGAGAACCAGCCACCGCACACCGTCACAACAATCGGGCACGCACAGTGACGGTCCCTTACCATCCACAGTCTCTAGAGACTCACACGCAGATAGCACAACCAGCACACAGTTCCTCGGGAGACACCCAGGGACTCGAACACGCGCATCGCTCCTCCGCGCACTACGCAAGCAAGGCTCCCGGCTCACCCCTAAACACCGCGAGATCCGGCCTCAAGGCCGGGCTACTAGCTATAAGTCTCGAGACTACGTTTCCCAGAAGACACTGCGGTGCCGGCCCTATCATGGCGCAGCATAGGTGTGCTTTATGCGTCTGCGCCATCTTCCGGATGCGCGCTGCGAGTCAGCGGGTACCGAGGTGGAAGCGCGCCCTGGGTTGTCGGGGGCGCGGCCGCGGTGGCACTTGGACCCGAGAAGGCGGCAGGTGAGGGGCTCCGGGGCTTTCCAGGCGCTCCGGGGTCCAAATAGGAACGAGTGTCGCGGCCGGCTGGGTCTCAGGCCTGAGAAGAACCGAGCTGTCTCGCCCCATCGTCGCTCTGTGGCTTTACCGGCGTGAGACTACATTTCCCGCCGGCCCTCGCGGCACGCGATAGCTGGCGCCCCCTTTCTGCGTCCAGCCTCATAGCCCAGGTGCATGGACCACTTAGGTGGGTGCACAGGGGTCCCTGACCCCCTGAAATTGCGGATGTTTTGCATTCACTGTTATGCGTGTTTTTGTTTTTTTTTTAATCTGAGAGGAAATCTTGTTTCATGACGTTTTCAGAGAGTTGCAAGACCCCCAGAGGATTTAGAACAGCTAGTTTAGAAGAATTTACATTTGGGAACATTTTATATGACCTTGTTCAAATTCTGTGTCCAGCAATCGGGAACCACTTGAGGGAAACACAGACTATCCTGTGTAAATGGGATATCGTGCAGTTAATACAAATAATGCTTATAAAAGTGGTTATAGTAAGGAAAGGCTGCCTATTACATCATATTACCCAACATGCATAATTCTTTCACTTACACCTTACCTGGAACTAAACGTTTGTAACGCAATAGGCACTTTACATACTCCTTTGTAAGAGCTTAATGAGCTCAAGAACTGGTTAAATGACAGCCCTGCAAACACTTGGGTGTGTTTTCTTCCACTTTTTCGGTTTTGTTTTGTTTTAGCCTGTGTGTCAGTGAGTTTGACTTCCTTTTGCTGAATGTTCTTGAAGGATCCAGTAGTTAGTATCTCTGCTTGTCAGTTAATGTTGCCCGACTTCATTTTTGACAGCCACTTGGCGTTCCATTATATGGTTATGCCAAACATGGTTCAACCACTTGCCTACTTATGTTCTCGTTTTCGGTTCTATTATGGGCATTCAGCTTTGTGCACTGCTGTGTCTCTATGGAAGAGCACATTTATGTGCTGATACTGGAGCGCTGGGCCTGCCCCCTGTAAATTTTGTCTCTTACTGTTTCTTGTAACTCTGTCCCATTTGTTGATGCAAGGCATGCTCCATGAAGTGGCGTCTACAAAGCCTCAGTTTGGGCTGTGGCGCTTTTTGTAAATTTGGCCTTTGGGAAAAGAGCCAGGTAGACTTGGGAATGTGTTATCTTTGCTGCAGGAGAGAGTTACATGGCCTAGTCCTGGAAAGGCTTTGTTTTAGGCTGGGGCTGTGCAAATTATGCAGGCCTTCTATGCTCCCTGGCTGGAGGAAAGCCTTCCCTGTCCTTGCTGTAACACGTGGGTCTCAGTCACTAGAACAGCCTCAGCATCCCTGTCTCAGACTTGCATCTGCAACAAAACAGAACCATTATGTTTAGGGGGAATGGGAAGGAAGGACCACTGGTTCCCCTTCTTGCAGCAGCTGAAGCAGGTTTCCTGGGGTTGGGTGAGGATCCCTTTGTCTCACCTCTCTCTCATTTTCTTGGTGGGCAGAGGGCAAGCAGGTGGGAACTTGTGGCTTTGGCATTCTAGTCGCTGTGAGGCAAGCGTAGCCTCTCATGTTTGCTCTTTCCTCCCCCAGCTCTGCCATCGCAGGACTCTGCTTTTCCCCAAGAGAGGAACCAGGAGGAGGACCTGTCAGCCCTTGAAATTCTAAAAGTCATGCCCCTTGTGAGTTTTAAAATCCCATAAATACTTTCTTTTCTTACCTTGAAACTTCCCACCTGGGTTCCATCCAGGAATCTGGTTCTCAGACTTTCCCATTCTAGGGAATAAAAGGACCAGACAGCGAGTCCCCTCTCCTATTGTCCTCTCCTCGTAAATGCCCACAGATTTGTTCTCTGTAGCATTCTGTATCTCCTGATGGTTTTCTTCTGCTAGGAGGAGAAACCCATTTCCCTGTATGAAATGAGAGCATCTTCTGTAAGAACTGAAGAGATGGAAATGAACACTTAGGAGCAATCACGTGGAGAAAAGCCCGGGAGGTGGTGTTGGTTGGTTTCAATTTAAGTCTGTGGTCCAGTGCCCTGCTTTGGGAATGATTAATGATTGGATATGTAATTGATGTTTGACTGGGAATCCATCAGAGATTCCATGCCAGAGTTAAGTCTAGTTTGATGTCAAACAGAGCATATGAAGCTGGGACAGTCTCCATTAATTTCTTTAGCTTAAGAGCAAGAAAAGTACAGACAGAGCTGAGAATGGTGGGTGATACAGCAAGTGAGATGACCAGCTAGAAGGGTGAGTGGTCAGGGCTTGGGAAAGCCTGTGAGATCTGATCCAACCTCTGGGCCCAAAATAAGAGGATGCTTGAGTCATTAGTTTCACTTGATAGAAAATCGTACTCAATAAAAGTGATCTCCATGGTTTTTCCCATGAAGAAAAATCATTGTTATGTTCTGACATAATGATGAACTTTCATCTCCAAGAAATTCTTGACTTATATGAAAATCCTGTATCTAAGATAGAAAACGTTTCTATAATTTAAAAAAATAAAATATTTGGGGAAAGTCCATGAGAAATATGTTTTGTTATTGTTATTCCAAAAGATAGAAATGATATGTCTCACCTTGAGAATTTATTGTATGCCAAGTACAGAGTGGGCTGTGTGTGTTATTACACTGTTTCTTAAATAAGGAAAACTCCATTTAACTCCATTTTCATCCCGGACTTGTGCACAGAGCTTTGATTTGCAGTTACAAGGAGTGTTTGAGAACATTTGAACATTCTGTTTTACTCATACCCATTTCTTTTTTTTTTTTTTTTTTTTTTTGAGACGGAGTTTCGCTCTTGTTACCCAGGCTGGAGTGCAATGGCGCTGTCTCGGCTCACCGCAGCCTCTGCCTTCTGGGTTCAAGCAATTCTCCTGCCTCAGCCTCCCGAGTAGCTGGGACTACAGGCACGCGCCACCGTGCCCACGCCACCATGCCCAGCTAATTTTTGTATTTTTAGTAGAGACGGGGTTTCACCATGTTGACCAGGATGGTCTCGATCTCTTGACCTCGTGATCCACCCGCCTCGGCCTCCCAAAGTGCTGGGATTACAGGCATGAGCCACCGCGTCCGGCCACTCATACACATTTCTAATGTAACCTTTCACATTCAGTCCCACCCTTCTTGTTCAACCAAAAAACCCCAGCCCCTGCAAAGACCTGCACCACCTCCTTTCATGCCACTGTGACCCATTGAAATACATTTGTATCACACATGCCTGTCATTCCAGGGGTCAGAATTGTTCAGGGATGTGGCCATAGTCTTCTCCCAAGAAGAATGGCAGTGGCTGGCACCTGCTCAGAGGGATCTGTACAGAGACGTGATGTTGGAGACCTACAGCAACCTGGTCTCACTGGGTAAGGTGATGCAGTCTGTGGGTTTGGAGGTTACCGTTGGACACGTGTATTCCTTCCTGATCAGTTGTTTTATGACTGATTGGGCATGTCTGAGGGGTTACAGGGCAGCACTATTGGCTGAAGCTACATCTTCCCCTGCCTCAGGCAACGGTCCCATCTTCTGCTGCAACTGTGTCTCCTGCTTGATGAGCAGGTCCTGGATATGAATCCTGGGCCCTACACCGTAACCAAGTGGCATTTTTCTTCTTATCTCCAGGTCTGGCCATTTCCAAACCCGATGTGATATCCTTCCTAGAGCAAGGGAAAGAGCCCTGGATGGTGGAAAGGGTGGTGGCTGGAGGCCTGTGCCCAGGTGAGTGAGGTATCAGTGACAAGGGAGCAGCCAATTCGGGTATCAGGTCAGCTGGAAGTGGCCCTTTGTCTTAGAAAATCCGCCCTGCAGGTTGCTACATTCGAAGCTTATGTCTTACGTGTTGTCTTCCTGAGCTTGTCAGCTGCATTCGACAAAGGTGGCTGCTCCTTCCTCGTGAAACATGTAAAAATTCAACCTGCAGGATAGGGCTAGACTGAGTACAAATATGGTGGCCCTAAGGAAAGTATTTTCTCTTTGGAAAGATGTATCTTTTGACCATTTTTCTTTATTTTTTAATTTTAATTAAACATTTTTTTTTTCACTTTTAAGTTCAGGAGTAGAAGTGCAGGTTTGTTAAATAGGTAAACCTGTGTCATGGGGGTTTACTGTACAAATTATTTCCTTACCCAGATATTAAGCCTAGTACCCATTAGTTATTCTTACTGATTCTCTCCCTCTTCCTACTCTCCATTCTCCAAAAGGCCAGCATGTGTTGTCCCACTCTATGTGTCCATGTGTTGGCGCCCACTTATAAGTGAGAACATGCAGTGTTTGGTTTTCTGTTCCTGTGTGTTTGCTAAGCCATGATTTTATAATCTACCTTGAGAGGATATAAATATGGTGCTCCTCACAAACCTTCTGGTCTCAGAATTCACTGATGGTTTTCTCTTGGGTCAGATCTGTTTGATAATTACAAAATAGTGATTTTAGAAAACTTAATTATTCTTTCTGTATTAGTTCACACACCCCCGTGAAGAAGGGCTTTCTCCCTTTTACCGTTTGTTTCTTCATTTATATCATATGGATTCATAGTAGGGGCACACTTTTTCTCATCTTATAAAGCTGCTTTTACTCAGTAACAGATTATTATCCATTATCATTATTTATCACAACGTTCACGTTTTTCCAAATTTGGCTGGTGACACCCTTTCAAACTGGCTCCTGGGTTCTTTGGACGTAATCCCTCCCCCTTTGCTATAAGCACGTTTTTAAGTTTTTTAGTTTCAACAATTCAGTAAGTTAGCTAGTTAACGTAAATACGGAACAAGTCCACACAGGTGACATCCATGGACATAAATGCAAGAATGCCAACCGTCACGTGAACCAAAGAGTACCAGCTCTTACAATGCTGACTATGTAGCGGTGACTGGTAGGTCATGCTTCTTCACATAAGCAAGGGTACACATTCAGATGGTTTTTTAAACAAAAACTAGGAACAAAAGAAGAATTTTATGTTTCTAAAAGGAGAAGCATAGAAGTCAATGTATATGAAAGGCAGAAGAACATGAGGACACGATAGGAAAGAGATTTCAGTGGGCACAACGTTAGTCCGTCGTGTTAATAGGTTCACATATTAAAACCTTTCTGCAGCCTGGTGTAGTAACTCATGCCTGTAATGCCGGCTACTCAGAAGGCCGAGCGGGAAGCATCACCTGCGCTCACCTGAGCCAGAGAGGTTGAGGCTGTATTATACCACGATTGCGCCTCTGCACTCCAGCCTGGGCAACAGAATGAGACCGCATCTTTCAGGAAAAGAAAACTGTTTTGGAGGGAAACTTTCTATAGAACTTTTACATACAGGTTTTTTTTTTAAAGTTGTAAGTTGTCATACTTAAACTAAAATGCAGATTTTGCTTTTGTCTCCAAATTGATTGTAATACTTTTGAGTCCAATCAAAACACCTCAGAAACATCCAGTTACTGTTGATCACAATGCATGTGGCATGCTGACAGAATTTAAGAGGGTACTGGTGTCAGCTTGTTAATGTTCTTTCATGCTGGGGTCACTGTAGTGAGTAGAGCTGCAAAACAATGTATCTGAAACCTTGACAAATGTTACGAATACTGGTTCTGTTCAGTAAATGACCGATGTTTTTGTGAAAATTCCTAACACAGAATTCTCTCCTGCTCTTTCACCCTCAATAAATGCTGTAAAGTGCATTCACAGAGATAAAGCTACTGCACAAAATCTCCCCCTCATAGAAACGGAAAGGAGTAGTGTCACACTGGAGCCGAATTGTACACATTCGATATGCCGCTGTAGCAACGTCCTTACAGAAGTATCGTGAACATGTGTAAGGGTTATGTACGTACATCTCTTCAAAGTATGAAAAGGTGCATTTGAACTTAATGGCAACATTTAAAAGTTAGTACCCTTTTAGCACATTGACTGGAACAAAATTCTCATCAAAAAGCATTTGTAGGCTGGGCGTGGTGGCTCATGCCCCTAATCCCAGCACTTTGGGAGGCCAAGGCAGGTAGATTGCTTGAGCCCAGTAGTTTCAGACCAGCCTGGGCAATATGGTGAAACCACATCTCTACAAAAAAATACAAAAATTAGCTGAGCATGGTGGTGCCCACCTGTGAGGAGTCTGAGGCAGGAGGATGGCTTGAGCTTAGGAGGTCGAGGCTGCAGTAAGCCAAGATCATGCCACTGCCCTCCAGCATGGGTGACAAAGTGAGAATCTGTTAAAACAACAACAACAAAGTACCTTGTTCATTTACAAAACTGTAAAAAATTACCTGCGGAATTAGACAGCAGAGGGCGCCTTTCCTAAAATTGTATACTGTCCTCGGTGTTAATACAATGTTGCCGTTCAAATGCTCACTGTGAAAACAAGCAGAGAAAAATTCAGAAGTGGTTAAGTGTTCCCGGCTTTAAGCAAATGAAATCTAGGTGTGATAAACAGGCAGGTTCGTAATAATTCTCTGAAAGGACAGTTGAATTCTAGCTGCCTGCATGCACCACAAAGTTAGGGAAAATATGGGATGTGCTCATACCACTGGAGTGACCAAAAACCAACATTTTCCTGCTGTCCCAAACTGGTAATAGTTTGTCTCTAACTTTACCATTCGAGTTTTTTGTATTTATTTAAATGTCCAAATTATGCTAAATGTGAAGCACCTGTTAGAAGTGGAAAATATTTTAATGCTTATACATAAGATTTTTAGATGATGTTTCATTGGTTGCACAGTGACTTCTGCCCAAATCACATTAAAATACTGTGCCAGATTTTGTAAAGAAACGTGAAAACACTGAAGACCTCTTTTGTTGCCATTTTGCAACTTTACAAGAAGTGAAATAGAAGCAGGAAGTTAGAGATGTATGACTGTTGGTAATATCTTTGGATAGTTATACAATAGTATTTAATCAGGGATGGCTTTATTTAAAAGTGTTCATGGAATAAATAACTCTGTACTCAGCAGAGCTCAACTGTGCAAGGTGAATATGTGCAAGGAAAAAACGGCATCTTGGAGAAAGGAGTGCTTTAAAAAGACATTTCCTTGGAAGCAGCCAAGATTTTTTTCACATTGCCAGAAAGACCAAGTAATATATGATCACTTTGATTTCTACAACCAAAAGTCCAGTTAGGCAGTTAGCTTGTCCCAAATGTTGTTTTGTACACCAGGCCGGCTTTAATATTCCATGGTCCACGGCACTTTCTTGGTTTCCCTTTTTGTTCTTGTAAGATGGCTGCCATACACCCTAATCATTGATCTGTGCCCTCATAGGTAGATAGGTGGCTGGATTTGGAAACTGTCCCACTAGTTGTTGGAAGACAGTACAGACCCTTAACCTTCCTCTTGAACAGCCAAACACAGCGTCTGAAAAAAACATCTTGCTTTGTGTCCTGTTTACATAGTCTTGTTCTTACCATGTCATGTGGACACACTACAGTTGTGGCACAGGTCTTTGAGGTAACAGCAGCCAGCATTATGTCTGCAAAATCTGATGTTTCTTTCACAGTCTTTATCATCTTCCATTGTAGAAGCAATCTTACATTCCAGTAATTTTAGCTTAACATTTTCACAAATAACAAAAGGAATGATAGTATCTGATATGCCACCATATAAAACAGGCATGTGCCTGTAACGTCCTCAAGGCCATCTGTTTGATACACATGATGAAGACGTTCAAAAGCTTTCTCCCATTCACTTTCCCCCATTCTCTTTCTCCCATGGTTCCTTGCATCAAGCTATACCTAAGTCTCTTTAAGTCAGCTGGGGTTGATTGCTGTAATTACGGTAAAACCTGCCCCTGTAGCTGAAATCATATACTGGGTAGAATCAGAGTCCGTTATACCATTCAGCTTTTTCATGTAATTACGGTAAAACCTGCCCCTGTAGCTGAAATCATATACTGGGTAGAATCAGAGTCCGTTATACCATTCAACTTTTTCATGCAGTTTGAATAAGCAGCAAAGTATGTTGCTCTAGAAGCACCCACCCCCTAATCCTCTAAACAAGGAACAAAGCCCTTCTTTTCCCAAGGTCACCTTTAAGAAATGGTAAGGTTCAGGTGAATGAATGACATTTAAGAAATGTCAGTTAGTTGACAATGGGCTTCAGCCATGGTGTTCAGCTATACTTCAGATATAAAAAGCTTCTCAGAGGAAGATAGCAGCCATGTTATTCCAGCTTCCGGCTGACATATGAGAATAGCTGCCACTGTCCCAGCATGGTCCTCTGGCTCATTCTCCCACATGTCCTCCAGGTGCTGAGGCAGGCAGCAGATCCAACCACACACTTCCTCCATCACTTTTATTTTTATTTTTTTAAACAGTGACGAAATAGAAGATTTACCATGTCAGCCATTTTTAAGTGTACAGTTCAGTAGCATGAAGTACATTGACCCTGTTTTACGTCCATCTCCTGAACTGTTCATCTTGAAATCCCCATCATTTTTAAAAATTCACTCTATTTGGGGCATAATTTACAGTCAATAACAAGCATTTTTTAAATTAGTTTTGAGTGTTGACAAATTTATACGCCCACATAACCATCACTTCAATCAAGACAGTGAGCATTTCCGTCAACCTGACAAGTCCCTCGTGCTCTTTCCTGCACAGGAATTTCCTCAAACCGATGGTTTGCTTTGCTTTCTGTCACTGTATATTTGTCTCTTCGAGAGTCTCACAGAAATATTGTCTTAGAAAATATGTTTCAGCAGCAATTCTGACCCATACCAACTCTGTTTTGTTTTTCTTAAAGACAGGGTCCGACTGGGTATGGTGGCTCACGCCTGTAATCCCAACACTTTGGGAGGCTGAGGTGGGCAGATCACGAGGTCAGGAGTTCGAGATCAGCCTGACCAACATGGTGAAACCCATCTCTACAAAAAAATTAAAAAATTAGCCGGGCATAGTGGTGCATGCCTGTAATCCCAACCACTCAAGAGGCTGAGGCAGGAGAATTGCTTGAACCAGGGAGTTGGCAGTTGCAATGAGCCAAGATTGCACTACTGCACTCCAGCCTGAGTGACGGAGCAAGACTGTCTCAAAAAGAACAGAAAAAGTGTCTCCCTCTGTCCCCTGGCTGGGGTGCACTGGCATGATCATACCTCACTGCAACCTTGAACTCTTGGGATTAATCAGTCCTCTTTTCTCAGCTGGGACTACAGGCACGTGCCGCTACAACTAGCTAATTTTTAAAAATTGTTTTGTAGACATGGGGTCTTGCTGTGTTGCCCAAGCCTGTCTAAACTCCTGGCCTCAAATGATTCTCCCTTCTTGGCTTCCCAAAGCACTGGGATTTCAGGCATGAGCCACCATGCCCAGCCTGACACTAACATTTCAGAATCACTTTTCTCGCCTTTCTGATCACCTTGGTCATCTGATTTATGGTATTTTCCTTTCACTGTTCTACGTGTCCGTTTTCTAATGGCTTAGCTATATTCAAGAGTTAATAGGCATTGAGTCTAAACCCTCCCAGTTCTTACTGTAGTTCCTTTATCTGGAAAAAGAAAAACCAAACATACTTGCTTTTTCTCATTCTATTTCAGTGTTGGAGTCCAGATATGACACCAAGGAATTATCTCCAAAGCCGCATGTTTATGAAGTTGAATCACCCCAGTGGGAGCTAATGGAAGGCTTTGCAAGTTACCGTCTTGAGTGTTCAAGTTTCCAAGATGATTGGGAATGCAGAAGCCAGTTTGACAGACAGCAGGGAAATCCAGATAGACGTTTCCATCAAATGATCCCCAGACATGAAGAAATGCCCACTTTCGACCAGCGTACGTCCCTTACTTTTTATCAGAAAATTCATGCTAGAGAAAAACCTTTTGGGTATAATAAATGTAGAAAAGACTTCTGGCAAAAAGAACTCCTTATTAATCATCAAGCAATTCATACTAATGAGAAACCCTATCAATGTAAGGAATGTGGGAAGGCCTTTAAATATGGCTCACGACTAATTCAACATGAGAATATTCATTCTGGTAAGAAACCCTACGAGTGTAAGGAATGTGGAAAGGCCTTCAATTCTGGTTCAAATTTTATACAACACCAGAGAGTTCACACTGGTGAGAAACCATATGAATGTAAAGACTGCGAGAAGGCCTTTAGTCGAAGCTCACAGTTGATTGAACATCAGCGAACTCACACAGGTGAGAAACCCTATCAGTGTAAGGAATGTGGCAAGGCCTTCAATCGGATCTCACATCTTAAAGTACATTACAGGATTCATACTGGCGAAAAGCCCTATGCATGCAAGGAATGTGGGAAAACCTTCAGTCATCGGTCTCAATTGATTCAACATCAGACTCTTCATACTGGCAAGAAACTCTATGAATGTAAGGAATGTGGGAAGGCTTTTAATCAAGGCTCAACTCTTATACGACATCAGAGAATTCATACCGGTGAGAAGCCTTATGAATGTAAAGTATGCGGGAAGGCCTTTAGAGTGAGCTCACAACTCAAGCAACATCAGAGAATTCACACTGGAGAGAAACCCTACCAATGTAAGGTATGTGGTAGGGCCTTCAAACGGGTCTCACATCTTACTGTGCATTATAGAATTCACACAGGGGAAAAGCCATATGAATGTAAGGAATGTGGGAAGGCGTTTAGTCACTGCTCACAACTGATGCATCATCAAGTTACTCATACTGAGACAAAGCCCTACGAATATAAGGAATGTGGGAGGACCTTGAGTCATGACTCAACTACTGTTCAAGCTCAGCGAATGCATAATAGAGACGCGCATGTGAATCTAAGAACTGTAGAAAAGCCTTCCATCAGCACATACCCCTTCCTAATCATCAGAGAGTTCATGCTGGCAAGCAGCCATATGAATGGAAGTAACGAGGAAAGCCCATTGGCTTAGGCTACTCATAACTTCCTCCTCCCTCTTGGAAAGACTTGGAGAGTGCAATGCCAGTGACAGTGCCTTCGCCCAGAGGTGATCCTTTATCCTAAGTCTGAAAACTCCTGTCAAGGAAAATTGTATGGATGTAAATTGTTCAGACCGTGATTGTGAAAGAAGCAGGGAGAGGTTGGCAGAAATTTTATTTCAGAACACATCCCAGAATCACATTTTCTAACCACAGTGTAGCAGTTTTATCAAGAATGAAAAGTTTTAGTTTTCTTACAAGTTAAAAATTTTTTAACAGCCAAATTATTACTTGCTTAGCAAGGAAATAAATCATGCAGTTATCATAAATGGTAATGAGAAGGATGAATGGAGAATTTACCAGGCTGAGGGATGTGAAATGTGGCTAAAGGGATGTGAGGGTAATGGGGAAGTCAGAGCTCCGCTGGAGTAATCTTTACGGCCTCTGAATGCATGTGTATACATGAACATCTGAAAGCTAAGCTCAGGCACTAAACATACTATTCAAGACTACAGACACCCAGGCAGTGAAAGAAGAAAATAACAGAAAATGTTAAATAAAGTGACCATCTTACAGTAATCTCAGTTTTTATTTCTTCCTGATCCAGAAATGATCTAAATTTAGGAGAGTGTTTCTGAATTTCCACATTGTTACATTGTTTATGTGGCTGGTGCGGACACCCATTGGTTATCATACCAGCAGCCACGCCCAGTTCCCCTGGTTATTGGTAGCAACTGTGTCTGTCTTAGACTGAGGGTATCAGATGCTAATCTTCCAGCCTCATGTGCAGCACAGCATGGCCGGGCCAGTATCAGTCTTGCTAAGTGGGATCTGCTGGGGCTTCTGGGAAAGATTTTCCTCATTTGGAAGAGAGAGGTTTATCATGAAGACTTCTTCCTCTCTCTCTTCCTGCTTTTAAACATTTTTCTATGAGAACATGATGCCTGGAGCTGCTGCAGCTATCTTGGAACCAAGAAAACAAAAAAGTAGACCTCAGAGAAGCTGACTCAGAGCCTGAGAAGACTCAGCTACTAGGCCAATTCTGGAACTGCCTCTTTGATGCTTTGTTATATAAGAAAAACCTTGATTGCTGACTTACTTTTAGTTGGATATTTTGTAAATTCGCAGCCAAAAGCATCCTAAATGATATAATTTTATTATGATTAGTAAATGTGGCTTGAAAATAACTCCTTTTTTGAATTTGACTTTTTTTTTGAGACAGTCTTGCACTGTCACCAGGCTGGAATGCAGTGGTGTGATCTCAGCTCACTGCAACCTCCACACTCCCAGGTTCAAGCAATTCTGCCTCATCCTCCTGAGTAGCTGGGACTACAGGCACAAAGCATCACACCCAGCTAACTTTTATATTTTTAGTAGAGCCAGGGTTTCACCATGTTGGCCAGGATGGTCTCGAGCTCTTGACCACCTTGGTCTCCCAAGGTGTGTGATTACAGGTGTGAGCCACCACGCCCTGCCAATTTGACATTTGTGTGTGTGTGTGTGTGGTTAAGTACAAGATTGATTTCTATATATGGTCCATGAACATTGAAAAAATACATATTCTACATTTTTGGATACAAGTTTCTAAATAAGTCTATTAAGCCACTAGATTGCAATGGTAAAAATCTCCCTGTTTTTATATGATTTGTGTATGCTGGATCAGAATTTCCTAAAACATTTTTGCAAATATCTTGAATTTCCAGACTTTTTTGTTGTTTATCTTGTTTGACCTACAGGGACATACTACTAACCCTTTATTTATGAATCATACCTTTATCTTTACATAATATCCCATTTGCCTACTGCAGCGTCTAAAACCCAAATCCAGCCTTCTGCCTGGTTTCCAGTCTCATTGTAACACCTTGCATTGATGATGTACAGCTGCTTTTGCCTCACTACAGAGCTGAGTAGTTGCAACATAGATTACATGGCCACAACACCTGTATTTACTGTCTGGGTGTTTTTGTTTGAGACGGCATCTCAAACTGGAGTGCGGTGGCACAGCCGTGGTTCACTGCAGCCTCAGCCTCCCATTCAAACAGCCCTCCTACCTCAGCCTCCTGAGCAGCTTGGACCACAGGCATGTGCCACCACACCATGCTAATTTTTAAAAAAAGCTATTTTGTAGGCAGGGTTTTCCTGTTGTCTTGGATGGTCTCAAACTCCTGGGCTCAAGCAATTCTCCCATGTTGGCCTCACAAAGAGCTGAGATTACAGGTGTGAGCCACTGCACCTGGCCTTGTCTGGTTTTTTAGATTTAAGTTTGGGTCAGGCACTACAACTCCCGTCTGTAATTCCAACACTGGGAGGCCGAGGCAGGAGGATCACTTGATACCATGAGTTCCAGACCAGCCTAGGCAACAAAGGGAGCTCCCCATCTCTGCAAAGAAACAGAGAGATTAGCCAGGTATGGTGGCATGTGCCAGTAGTCCCAACGACTTGGGAGGCTGAGGTGAGAGGATCATTTGAGCCCAGGACTTCAAGGTTGCAGTGAGCTGTGATCACACTATACACTCCAGCCTGGGCAACAGAACAAGACCTTATCTCAAAAAAAGTTTGCCAGGCCAGGCGTGGTGGCTCATGCCTATAATCCCAGCACTTTGGGAGGCCGAGGCGGGTGGATCACGAGGTCAAGAGATCGAGACTATCCTGGTCAACAAGGTGAAACCATCTTTACTAAAAATACAAATATTAGCTGGGCATGGTGGTGCATGCCTGTAGTCCCAGCTACTCAGGAGGCTGAGGCAGGAGAATTGCTTGAACCCAGGAGGCGGAGGTTGTGGTGAGCCGAGATCGAGCCATTGCACTCCAGCCTGGGTAACAAGAGCAAAACTCTGTCTCCAAAAAAAAAAAAAAAAGAAGTTTGCCAACCCCTGACCCAGAGTAATTCTTTTTGTATTTTATTCCCACACTGTGTAATGCCAATGAATAATGATTTCTCTTTATCTGGTATGTTTTTGCCTGTTGGTTTTCAACATCTGTCACCTTATATAGAAACACGTATTCGTGTCCCACAGTAAGTAGTATATGCAAACCTACCTGCAAAGGTTGAGGGAACGGGAAGGCTGAAGAAACGCTGGCAAATCCGACTCCTCAGAAAGAAACATTTAATAGGGATGTCAGAAGAGAAGTCGTTTCTCCAGCAGCTGTGAGGTGGCGGATTCCTGCACTCACAACATCACAAGCTGTTTTGGTAGAACATACGCACGCCGCTCATCACTTTTCAGACCCTCTTGTGAAACCTATGACCCAGCGGGAAAGCTGCAGAAGTATCTATGAGGCATCATCTGTGCTCGAGTCACTGCTTCTTGATCTTGCTGAAGGACTGTCTTGTGCAGGACTCAAACGCTGATCATTATCGCAGTTTCACTTCAAGATAGTGTTACTCTTGCTATGCAAAAGGCTGTTTTCATACAAGTCACATGCTGCTAATTTCTAAATTTTTTTGTAGAGACAAGGTCTTGCTATGTTGCCTGGGCTGGTCTTGATCTTCTGGGCTCAAGTGCTCCTCCCACCTGGCCCTCCCAAAGTGCTGGGATTATAGGCATGAGCCACCATACCCAGCCTAGAGAAATTTGTTAACACCTGTAACCCCAGCACTTTGGGTGGCCAAGGAAAGTGGATCACCTGAGGTTGGGAGTTCAAGACCAGCCTGACCTGCATGGAGAAACTCCATCTCTACTAAAACTACAAAATTAGCCAGGCATGGTGGCACATTCCTGTAATCCCCACTACCCGGGAGACTGAGGCAGGGGGATCACTTGAATCTGGGAGGCAGAGGTCATGCCACTGCACTCCAGCCTGGGCAACAAGAGCGAAACTCTGTCTCAAAAAAAAAAAAAAAATTAGTTGGGTGTGCTGGCACACGCCTGTAGTCCCAGCTACTTGGGAGGCTGAAGTGGGAGAACTGCTTGAGCCCAGGAGGCAGAGACTGCAGTGAGCCATGATTGTGCCACTGCACTCCAGCCTGGGTGACAAGAGTGAGATCCTCTCTGAAAAATAAGTAAAAGCATAACCATTATAAAATGTGATTGGGCCGGGTGTGGCGGCTCACACCTGTAATCACAGCACTTTGGGAGGCCGAGGTGGGTGGATCACGAGGTCAAGAGATCGAGAGCATCCTGGTCAACATGGTGAAACCCCGTCTCTACTAAAAATACAAAAAATTAGCTGGGCATGGTGGCACATGCCTGTAATCCCAGCTACTCGGGAGGCTGAGGCAGGAGAACTGCCTGAACCCAGGAGGCAGAGATTGCGGTGAGCTGAGGTCATGCCACTGCACTCCAGCCTGGGTAACAAGAGCGAAACTCTGTCTCAAAAAAAAAAAAAAAAAAAAAAAAATTAGTTGGGTGTGCTGGCACATGCCTGTAGTCCCAGCTATTGGGAGGCTGAGGTGGGAGGACTGCTTGAGCCCAGGAGGCAGAGACTGCAGTGAGCCATGATTGTACCACTGCACTCCAGCCTGGGTGACAGAGTGAGACCCTGTCTGAAAAATAAGTAAAAGTATAACCATTTATAAAATGTGATTGGGCCGGGCGTGGCGGCTCACACCTGTAATCCCAGCACTTTGGGAGGCCGAGGTGGGTGGATCACAAGGTCAAGAGATCGAGACCATCCTGGTCAACATGGTGAAACCCCGTCTCTACTAAAAATACAAAAAATTAGCTGGGCATGGTGGCGCGTGCCTGTAATCCCAGCTACTCGGGAGGCTGAGGCAGGAGAATTGCCTGAACCCAGGAGGCGGAGGTTGCGGTGAGCCGAGATCACGCCACTGCACTCCAGCCTGGGTAACGAGTGAAACTCCGCCTCAAAAAAAAAAAAGTGATTAATTGAATGTCATCAATTGAAAGCTTTTATCACCATTATGTAAATGAAAAGGTAGGTTACAGAATAGTAGAAAATATTTCCAAAATCTGATGAACAACTCTCATAATTGCAAGCTAAGAACAACCTCTAATTTAAAAAATAATCTGCAAAAGACTTCAACACACACTTTACAAACAAATATGTATCGTCAAGGGACAGCATTTTTAAGTTAAATTAAAAGTGCAGTTAAGTATTCTGCAGAAACTAAGAAAGCGTATTTTAGAAGACTCAGAATACAAAGTGCTGGTCACGACGTGGAACAATCAGAATTAACATTTCAAGTACTGGATATTGGACAACATTTTCCACTACACATTCTAGCGTCGAGTACAGTGAAAACGGTGTCTAAAGGACTTCCCGCAGTGACTGCACCAAAAGGGTCTTTCACCAGTAGGAATTAGCTCACGTTGACAAAGTGTTGAGGAAGCATTAAGGGACTTCCCACAGGCATGGCATTAATAGGGTTTCTCTCCACTGTGAGTTCTCTTACGGGTGACAAGGGAAGAGGAGGCAGTGAAGGCCTTTCCACATTCCTTGCTTTTATATGGTTTCTCTCCACTGTGTGTTCTCTTACGGGTGACAAGGGAAGAGGAGGCAGTGAAGGCCTTTCCACATTCCTTGCTTTTATATGGTTTCTCTCCACTGTGTGTTCTCTTACGGGTGACAAGGGAAGAGGAGGCAGTGAAGGCCTTTCCACATTCCTTACATTCATAGGGTTTCTCATCAGTATGAATTCTCCTGTGCAGAGTGAGCAGCATGACACGACAGCAGGTCTTTTTGCAGTCCTTACATTGATAAGGCTTTTCTCCAGTGTGAATTCTCCAATGTTCAATCAAGGAAGATAGGCGCACAAAAGATTTCTTAGACTTACTACACTCAGAGGGTTTCTCTCCAGAATGAGTTTTCTGAAGTTTACTGAGTTGTGCACTTTGAGTGAAGGCTCTGCCACACTCCTTACATTCATACGGCTTTTCTCCACTATGAACTTGCTGCGGATCCATAAGGGCGGAGGAACAGCTGAATGCCTTTCCACAGTCACAGAACTTTCGTCTCGTATGTGTACTCTGATGCTGGGTGAGATGCGTCATCTGGCTGAAGGTTTTCATACATTCCTTACATGCGTGAGGTTTCTCACCCGTGTGAATTCTCTCATGCTGGGTAAGGTGTAACCTCTGATTGAAGGTTTCACTACATTCGCTACATGCACAGGGTCTCTCTCCTGTGTAGATTCTTGATGCTGAATGAGAGTTGATCAATGAAGTATTTCCCACAATGTAAACACTGATTGAATTTCTTTCGCGTATGACTTCTCTGATGGAGAGTAAGCTGCGTACTGTGGCAGTATACATTTCCACATTCCTTACATATGTTTCTTGTGCATTTTGTCACTGTGTCAAACTGAGATAATACTTCATTAATAGCCTTTTTATGGATGACTCCTTAGTCTCTGCACCTGGTACAGCTGAAAGGGAAAAAAATCAACTAACAGAAGCACACTCAACTAACTTAATGCACATCTTTTATCCTTTCAACCCCCTTTAGGCACCTTTTCAAGAGATGAAGATACCAGTTTTAAGGATATATTGATAAGAATGCTTATTGAAATAAGCTTTATATTGGAAACAAACTATGTCCCTCGTAATTAATCGTGGTGTATCTATATCTGTATTACTCAGCTACTAAAAAAAGACTGAACTTCAGCTGCTTTCTGACCTGCAGGATAATGTATGAAGTGAAAAGGACAAGATGCAGACTTATGTGTTAAGTTATACACCAAGTTTCAAAGAGGAAAAAGGTAGTTTCTGTATATATATGTATGTATTAACCTGAAGCATTAATGTGTCCAGAGAGAAGTCACCTCCAGTGATTTTACTGCAGAAACAATTTGACTTCATATAGAAACAGTAAAATCAATCTACAGTCAGGGACAGACAGGGTAGGAGTTCTCATTGAAACAGACATCTTGAGACTGAAGAGATCACTAAGCAAACAGGAAAAATAGGAGCGTCAAGTGAAGGCAGCAAGGAAGTGGATTTACATGTACTATGGGGAATCGCAGAGGTCAAAATGGCATCACGGGAAGGCTGATCAACGTGATCACAAATTAAAGAAAGGCAGTAGGGTTTGCCGTGGCAAATACAATGCCCTTCCAACCTGTAGTTATTTTTACTGTTTAGAAGCAGAAGCTCAGAGAGGCTGGCTGTGCTTGATGTAAACGTTAAGAGCAGAGCCTCGGTTAATTATGGAGAATGACCGAGTTCTGGCCTGTTTATGCACGAAACGTGGGAATCCCACTGTTTTCTCCAGATTAAACTATGTATGTAGACAGTGGAGAGGGCTTACCTCATTAAGCGTGCAAGAAGGGCTGGTTTTTACAGGGAGACTCTACCACAAAGGCCTCATGGTTTTTAAAATGAACTCAAAAGATTATTACCAAATGTGGGGCTCTGGGTCACATGATATTAGGGTGACCTCCAAAAGGGCTAAAGACTGAGATGAGACATGTGAGCAGTCAGCCATGTCTACATAACGATGCCCTAATAAGCCGTCTGGATACCAAGGGTCAGGTGGGCTTCCTTGCTCGGCCATACTCTGTGCATTTTGCCACACATCATTGCTGGGAGGAGTTAACACTGTTCGTGACTCCACTGTGGGGGCATAAATGCAAGTCCTCCTAGACTCTGCCCTATGTCTTTTTCCTTGGTTGATTTTAATACGTATCCTCATGGTAATAAACTGTAAACATGAGTATAACAGCTTTCAGTGAGTTCTGTGAGTCCTTCTACTGAATTATCAAACCTGACAGTCATCTTGGGACCTTTGGATTTGCAATTTGTGTCAGAACTCATGGTGGTCTTGGGGATCCCCATACTTTGCAGTGAGCATCAGAATGATGTTCTTGTGGACTATTCACTAACTCTGCAGGCAGGAATACAAGCATGTGATGAATCCCGTGACTACTCCTAGTAAGCATCTCTTAACAGTCTCAACAGTCAACTCGTTTTAAAAAAGGAATGAACGTTAATGAATAAAACGACCAATGAATACACCCATTCAAACAATCAGACCACTACGTAAGTTATTTTCCAGTAAATAACAGTATCAAAGACCCAGACATAAAAACAGTTGTGAGAAACAGGACCCCGAGTTTAAAAGGAAGCTCACCATATACAAAGAGGAAAGACACGCTTGTCATTTCTGAGCCGAGGCATTTGTGAAAGTAGATATAAATGGTGGGTGATCAGTATCCATTTAGAAACTCAGACTCAAGGAGACGAATTTCTACATATGTATGAAACGCTGGATGAGAGCATCTTTCACATCTTAAAGGTGTCTGCCCTCTAGAACTGTCATGCCTTTCATATACATGACTCACCCCTGCTAGTGGTTCTTCATACTCACCTGGCAATGGGCCTCTTAGCTCTTGCCACTCTCCAAGGCCGTTTTCTTTTCTCCAACAGTGAAATCACAGATTTAGAAATGGAAAGGCCTGTGAAAATAAACAAAATTGGCTGTGTTCTGGTTGCTGAGGTATTCTGACAGATCAACACTGTAATCGGGACATAAGCCATTATAGAAACAGAAAAATTAGAATATCTGGCACATAGAATAAAGAAAGCTGCTCACCCCAATCCCATGTCGCATGTAAATTCTGAATCTCACAAGATTCCCAGTATAAAAAAATAAGACATACTCAAGACCAGATGCTGAAGAAAGGGCTTTAAGCACTTACCCAGCCAGACCAGGTTCCGATAATTCTCCAACATCACAGATGCGTACAAATCTCTCTGAACAGGGTTCAAGAATCCCCACTCTTCCTTGGAGAAGTCAATGGCCACATCTTAGAATGTCACTGATCCCTGAAATGACAAACATTTTCTTAGAAGAGCCCAGGTAAATAACTGGAAGTTGGGAGGAGCTGATCAGGACTCTGTGACTTAGGAGAGAAGCTCATTTAGGTTACTAAAGAGCAACACTATCAAATAGTGTTTATTGAAATTTGGGTATAGAAAAATACTTAATAAGGGAAACATTCAAGATGAACAGGAGATTCAAAAAACACTGAATAGTTTAAGAAATGTATTGCTCAGAGACCATGTATCCACATATTCAAAAGCGATTTGTAAAGGAACTATCATAGTTGCTTTTATAATCTTACATATTCATAGTATGACCACACTCTGACTTTGTTAAAAGCCAGTCATCATCAATTCTACCATAGATCCTCAGAGATGGATCAAATTCTACCATGTGTGACTTTCAGAATCAATTACAAATTACTTTCTTGCTGAAATAAAAGGTAGTTCCCTTTCTTTAAATGTGGATTGGACCTACAGTTTGCTTTAATCAACAGAATGTGACAGAAGTGACACTAACTAGTTCCAAATGAAAGCTTTAGGAAGGTTTGGTGTCTTCTGTTTTGCCCTCATAGGGGCTCGTGCCACATAAGAAAAGCGAGTGGGAAGCTGCCAATGGAGAGTGAGAGATTCATCAAATAAAGATGAGGAACTCGGCTAGCAGCAAAGAGTGGCCCAGATACATGACTCCAGCTATTCCAATTAAATATAAAATCTATGGATGAAGAAGCCGTGTTGGGGCTTCAGGCCCCCACAGGCATCATGGGATCAGATATTAATCATTCCCACCCTGTCCAGTTCGGTGTGAATTCTCAGGAAGTGAAGCAGCCTTGGCTCTAGCAGCTACATTTTAGTGTAGTAAATGTAATGGTCTGAAAACTGCAGCAGACGGGTTATTATTTCACCTCATTTGCCTCCATCAGGGCCTGCAACAGGAGTAAGGAATGAGGTTTTATCCTCAGCTACTTATGAAGAAGGGGTTGAGAAGAGCTGAGGATGCCCAGCCTCCCGCCAGTTTTCCTTTCCGGCATCCTGGGACTTCATCAACTCGTGATAAAAGTAGCATTCCCAATTACTTCCATCATACACAGTTGTCCTTCCCAGATACACCCTTACACTATCTGTAACAACAGTACATAGGTCAAAAGCTATCGGAACTTTATTGTATTAAACATGGGGCAGAGAAGGTTTCTTTTTTCTCACTTGAATGTGGGGTTTCGGAAATCTTCAATATGGCTCGGTGCAGTGGCTCATGCCTATAATCCCAGTGTTCCTGGATCAAGCTGAGGGTCAGGCTGCTATTTATTGAGGCCCAGTAACAAGATGCAGATAAATTGGGGAGAAAGAGTTTTTATTTCTGTAGCCAGTTACAGGGAGAGGCCTGGAAATTATCACCAGACCAACTCTAAATTACCAAGTTTTCCAGAGCTTATACACCTTCTAAGCTACATGTCTATGTTAACTGTGCATTCATCTAAAGATGTAAGTGACTAACTTCTTTTCATCTATGGCTAAGGTCTGAGTCTTACAGACCTTTCTCTGGACCCTCAGTAAATTTACTTGATCTCAGTGGGTTCAGGTTCTGGGGTGATTACTCTTATCTTGTCTCCTGCTAAACCACAGGGGTTTGGGGAGTTCCTTCAGACCCCAATAAAACCTGTTTCATCCGAAATGGATCCAATTAACAATTCCTTCATGATTTTGTCATGCTTTAAGGCCCAGGAAAGGCCTAGGAAAACTCTTGGGGGGCTTTTGTTACATTCCAGCCTTTGTATAAGGGCACTGGCTTTTAACGTTTAACTTAACCACTGTCAGTACTGAAAGTTTTTATGGAGGCCTGAGTTTGCTGAGATCTGACCTGCCACACCAGCACTTTGGGAGGCCGAGAGAGGAGGACTACTTGAGCCCAGGAGTTCAAGACAAGCCTAGGCAACATAGCAATACTTAATCTCTAAAAAATTAAAAAAATTAGCCAGGCATGGTGGCACACGCCTGTAGTCCCAGCTACTCAGGAGGCTAAGGCTGGAGAATCGCTTGAGCCTAGGAGGTCAAGGCTGCAGTGAGACATGATCAATATGATGAATTTGTGTATAATATGTTAAATGTTCACAAAGCAATCCACTCATCAGCAGATCCCTGATCAAGAAACTGAATGTCACCAGCACCTCCAGGATTCTCCAAGACTGCTTCAGGACACACCTCTTGCTATCCTGAATTCTGTCACCATAAATGAGGCAGACTACAATATATCTAATGAATAATTTTTAAATTTTTCTTGATATTCTTCAGGTGCCAGTATTTTATTTCTCTTTCAAGAGATAGGGGTCTTGCTGTGCTGTCCAGGCTGGAAGGCAGTGGCTATTCACGTGTGTGATCATGATGCCCTATTGTGATGAAAGGCCGGCTGAAGTGATCCTCCTGCCTCAGCGTCCCAGGTTGCTGGGACTACAGGTGTGTGCCACTGCGTCCAGATGCCAGTATTTTTTCTACGACTACATCTTCTAAAAGATCAGAAAAAGACATCTACAGGTTCAATATCCCTAAGCTGAAATGCTTCAAAATCTGAAACTTTTTGAGTGTTGACATAAGATTAAAAAAGAAATGCTCATTGGGACATTTTGAATTTTGGATTTGGGATGCTCAACCAGTAGGTATAATGAGAATGTTCCCCCCCGCAAAAAAAAAAAACCCAAAATCTGAAATACTTCTGGTCCCAGGCATTTTGGATAAAAAATACTCAGCCTACCCAATAATATTCATAGCAGTTTTATTAATAACCAAAAACCTGAAAACACCCCAAATGTCTATCGACAGGAAAATGAGTAAGTAGGCTAACATATTAACACAATGCAACACTCAGCAGAACAACAAATAATGGACATCAATGCATATCAAGAAACATTATGTTGAGCTAATGAAGCCAGACACACACATATAAACTACTTGACTCCATTTATGTGAAGCCAAGCAAAACAAATCCACTGTCATTAAAACAAGAAATTGATCTCCTTTTCCAAGAAACAAGAAATCCTTCATCAAAACAAGAAATCCTTTTCCTTTGAGGGTCAGGAAAGAGAAAAATAGATGAAAAAAATACTTGCAAGAGTGATGGAAATCTATCTTGATGGTGACAATATCAACGGAGTTAAGAAAGCACTGGAAACATGGAGAAAATGGGATAAAAACTGGTGGTTAAAAAAGCTGTAAGCTCAAATACTTCACATCAAAATACAGAAAAAAATAAAGTGATAAAAATGTTTTTTTTCTGCACAGTTGTTATATGATGGTTATACATAAATATAATTTAACAATTTCACGAGTAGCTTCAGTCATAACAAACAGAATGCGTCGGGAAAATATTGCCTCTTTTCCGAAAAGAAAGAAAATCAAACTGTCCCCTCGAAAAGAAAATCTATTTTTCAAACAAAATATCTTGGTGACTACACTTACCAGGCTAAGAATCAAATCTGGTTGTTTTTGCGCAAAATTTCAGAGACCATGAAAACACCCTGAACGGAACCTGTGACTTCATCTGTGGAATTCTTGGAAATACGTTTAAGCCGCCCAACTTCAAAGTGGAACCTGTGATCCCAAACATTATCTTTCACTAATGTTCCTAGTAAATGTCCTGACCTTGTTAACCTGGACTTTCATGCTCAAGACGTCAATCACATTCCCATTCCCCCAAATTTCCAAAGGCAGATTACCATTACTGAGTCTGAACCACTCATGAGCATTTTCTATGACGCATCCTCTCAGTCTGGGACTGTACAGAACGTCAACGATGACTGAGTATTCACCTCTACTTCAAGAAGATGACAGTTTCCAGATCATGGCTCTCGTCTTCTCCAGGGAGTGTAACTTTGACCCCCAAACAGTGCTTAAAAGACGACTGGTGACAGTGGAGATTCAGAATAATTCATTCGGTGAATAAATGAACCCTAAAGTACAGGACATGGACTCTGAGGAGAGGGGTCCCCATAGTCCCGTGTGTTGCTGAATGAGAAGACCTGGGACTCGGCCCCGTGTCAGTCTTTTTTTTTTTGAGACGGAGTTTCGCTCTTGTCACCCAGGCTGGAGTGCAATGGTGCGATCTCGGCTCACCGCAACCTCCACTTCCAGAGTTCAAACAATTCTCCTGCCTCAGCCTCCCGAGTAGCTGGGATTACAGGCACGCGCCACCATGCCCAGCTAATTTTTTGTATTATTAGTAAAGACGGGGTTTCACCATGTTGACCAGGATGATCTCGATCTCTTGACCTACTGATCCACCCGCCTCGGACTCCCAAAGTGCTGGGATTACAGGCTTGAGCCACCGCGCCCGGCCCCCCGTGTCAGTCTTTACCACCCAAGTAAGCAAAAGTAGATATGCCCAGGACTTAAAACCTATGAGGCCGCAGGAAACGAAGATAGAACAAAAACCTATCCGAGACATGGCTAATGCGCACCGTGCCGGAACAGCGTTCTGAACAGCCACAGGGTCCTGGAAATGTAGGGCTAAGGAGAAGGAAGGAAACTTCAGAGACCAGATTCTCGAACCCACTGCCACCCATTTTCAACCACGTTCCTGAACAAACTCCAAGAGCGACAGATTTCACTGACAATTTGATGGAAACATCAAATTCTCAGACAAGTAATGTCGATAATGAGGAGGAAGCTGTTACCATAGAGACGAATGAACCAGTTCAATTCACGTTTGCACTGAGGTACCCGAACTTCACCACAGCCACTCCACTCTCTTCAACAGGGACACTCAGTGTGTCTGCAGATGTACCCCTTGTTGTAGAGTATAAAACTGCTGACATGGGACACTTAAAGTACTACCGAGATGGAGGATGAAGAGGGATCTTAGGCATTCTTAAAATTCAAGAAAATAAAACTAAGCTCTTTGACAACTGCTCCTGAGATGCCAGCATATACTGAAGTCTTTTCTGTCACCAAATTTGTACCTCTAACTACACAGGTAGATACTGTTATCTGTAAATTACCTATTTTTTTCTCTGTTCTCTGCAGTTTGCTTAAAGATCTCTGCAAAGTCAGATCCAGTCTAATTAAATACTGTTTAGCGAGCATCTCTGGTTCCTGAAAACGTATAACGGCCTTTTTCAACGCCTCAGTCGCCTACTCTGGGATAGAACCATGCACACAGATATTAATTTTAATTATGTCTTCTAGAGCCGGGCGCGGTGGCTCACGCCTGTTATCCCAGCACTTTGGGAGGCCGAGGTGGGTGGATCACAAGGTCAAAAGATCGAGACCATCCTGGTCAACATGGTGAAACCCCGTCTCTACTAAAAATACAAAAAATTAGCCGGGCATGGTGGCACGTGCCTGTAATCCCAGCTACTCGGGAGGCTGAGGCAGGAGAATTGCCTGAACCCAGGAGGCGGAGGTTGCGGTGAGCCGAGATTGCGCCATTGCACTCCAGCCTGGGTAACAAGAGCGAAACTCCATCTCAAAAAAATAATAATAATAATAATAACAATAAAAAAATAAAACAGAAAATAAAAAAATAAAAATGTTAAAAATTATGCCTTCTGTGTGCACAGACGCCGACACACTGACTGTCGGGCTTACCCGCACCCAGCACCTCCAGACTCAGGCCGGCACTGACCCCTGGGCCTCCAGCCATTGAGGTGGCCACTCCTGCCCGGAGCGCCTCTGAGACTGGCCGCCCGGCCCCCAAGCAACACAAGCCTCATCATGTCCCGTTATGACGTGGCGCTGGGAAAATCCCGTCCAAGAAAGGAGAAACGGCGACGCTGCCCACTCAGCTCTCTCTGCAGCCCACCACCCACCTGAAGCACCGGCCGCACCGCCTGTGGGCCCCGGTGGTTTCTGGGAGTAGGCGACGACCCGTAGTGCGCATGTGCAGCCCCGCGCCTCCGCTCCCAGGGACCGGAATCCAGAGGCGACCTCGGCTAAGAGACAAGGTACCTGTGGCATAAAGTACAAGAAGAGTGGAGGGGGAGGCGGGTCCGCCGATGACCGAGTACGCATGCGTGAGCTCGGCCTTGGGGGCGTGGCTTTGTGCCCGTCGGAGGTGTGGGGAGAATGCTGCGCCTGCGCACAGAGAGCCACGCGGTTGCCTTCTGAGGGGTGCGGTGTATTTCAGTGCCAGGAGCAGACTTAGTTGGAGGCTGTAAGAGGAGGTGGGGAAAGGGCCTAGTGGTAATACACCGGCGTGGAAATGTTCTTCTTAAGTTTGGGAAAGTGTTTGCAACGAGGTGCGTGGGACCACCCGGCGTCTGCTTTAGTGTATCCGATGGCCCATTCTCCGTGACGTTGTGTGATGTGATGTGCGACCCTGTGTGCATTTCTGTGGGTGTTTGGTTGACTCTTAAGCTGTGGAGTGTGTCTGCTGTGTGACTTTTTCTTTTTCTTTTTTTTGAGACGGAGTTTCGGTCTTGTTGCCTAGGCTGAAATGCAATGGGGCGATCTCGGCTCACCACATCCTCCGCCTCCCAGGTTCAGGCGATTCTCCTGCCTCAGCCTCCTGAGCAGCTGGGATTCCAGGTGCCCGCCACCACGCCCGGCTAATTTTGTATTGTTAGTAGAGACAAGTTTTCTCCATGTCGGTTGGCTGGTCTCGAACTCTCGACCTCAGGTGATCCGCCCGCCCGCTCTCCCGCCTCGGCCTCCCAAAGTGCTGGGATTACAGGCGTGAGCCTCCGCGGCTGGCCTGCTGTGTGATTTTTTATTAATTGTTTAATCTTTATGATCTTCAGTTTGCTCATGTGTGCAATGGAACAATATTTCTTAGCTAATCGTGTTGCGGAGATGAAGTGGTCGTAATTGTGCCTGGCACAGATAATGGGCGTTCAGGTTATTTGATTCTATTTAGTCATTGTTTTGAGTTATTTACCAGCTCACATTGTGAGGTTATTTGATTCTATTTAGTCATTGTTTTGAGTTATTTACCAGCTCACACTGTGGCTCTCTGATGGAAGTGTAAATGAGTTCTCGTCCACACAAAAGTAAATTGTTTGGAGGAGGTCAGTTTTTGCCTCTATTTGCTGCTGCACATTATTTTAATTTAATTTTTTTTTTTTTTCTTTAAGAAACAGGGTCATCCAGGCGTGGTGGCTCACGCCTGTAATCCCAGCACTTTGGGAGGCCGAGGCGGGCTGATCACAAGGTCAAGAGATCGAGACCATCTTGGCCAACATGGTGAAACCCCATCTCTACTAAAAATATAAAAATGAGCTGGGTGTGGTGGTGCACACCTGTAGTCTCAGCTACTCAGGAGGCTGGGGCAGGAGAATTGATTGAACCTGGGAGGCGGAGATTGCAGTGACCCGAGATGGTGCCACTACACTCCAGGCAACAGAGCCAGACTTCATCTCAAAAAAAAAAAAAAGGAAAAGAAACAGGGTCTCACTCTATTGCTGACACCAGGGTCTCATTCTGTTGCTGACACTGGAGTGCAGTGGCACCATCAGAGCTCACTGCAGCTTCAACCTCTTGACATCCTGGGTTGAAGCTGTCTTCCTGCTTCAGCCTCCTGAGTAGCTGGGACTACAGGTAACTACCACCCTGTCTGGCTGATTTTTAAAGTATAGGTGAGATCTCACTATGTTGCCCAGGCTGGTCTCAAACTCCTGGCCTCAAGTGATCCTCCCACATTGACCTCCCAGAGTGCTGGGGTCACAGGCATGTGCCACTGCAGCCAGCCACTTTAATATTTTTGATCTATAAATGTGACTTTTTTTAGGGGTGGGGAGGGTTCTCTTATGAGCTAGTTTTAACATGTCACCAATTTTTCGCATTAATGAGTTAAGTGAACTCTTCAAGCTGTGTTTTTTGCCTGTTAGAGTGCCTTGCAATTTTTTCTGATAGCTGAATGTGTTGTACTTGCTAAAATGAGCTGCATGACAGGTCTTTAGTAACATGGTGTAAGGTAGGGTTGCGAGAGGCGAAGTATTCTGTAGTCTGCAAAATAATATATAAACTTAGCCACATTAAAATTTTAAAGAGTTTATTTAAGCAGACAGCAGTTCATGAAAAGGGCATTACCAGACCACGTGCAGCTGAGGGCCTCTGAAGAGGCATGAGGGAAAGGCTTTTACGGCTGAACTCGGAAGCAAGGCAAAGAAGATACCTTATTTGTTAGAGTAGAGCCTCATTTGGATCATTCCAGTGGAAAGTCAATAGAGGTTGATTGGTGGTTTCTGATTGGTTAAGACCAGTCACACTGGGTTGGGTTTGGGTTTGCTTAGGTTGAGAATCCAGGGTACTGGAGCCACCTCAGCCTAATGGCTTCCCAGTGAATTGTTTCAACAAGTCTTACGGTAAGGTTTCAGTCTCTTAGCCTGTGCCCAGGGACTATGAATTTCACAAGTGCTTCTCAGTAAACCCCTCCCTCCTCTTAAGTAGGGCAGGAGGGCAAGATGGGACCAGACTTGTTTAGTTTCCTTCCTCCAGGTCATTTGGACTCTGATAAAATCCCAAGAGGTTAGGTTCTGGTAAAATGGGTTCCCTCTAGAGCATTGAACAGAATGCTCTGGTACACTTCAAAATGGCAACTCTTCCTCTTGCTCTGCCAGAACCAGCTGGGGACTTTCCTCAGATCTTTACTCTGAGAACCTGCTAGAGTCCTTGGAGATAAAACGCATGAAAGTATAAAGAAACCTCTATGGCACGGTCTCCTTGGAGTTTTGTTTTTTGTTTTGTTTTTTAACTCTCAGACTTAACCACATTCAGCCTCCCAGTTCATCAGTTACAGTTCAGGTTTTCCTAACCTGGTTCTGGTTCCTGAGAGGCACAGAGATTCCTGCTTTTGAGTTTCTGCTCTAGTAAGTTGTGATTCTCTGTGTCTGCCTGACTGTCTCCAACTTTGAGGCAGTAGCTCGTCTTGTGACCTCACTTATTTGACAGATCTAAGAAGAACTGCCGATTTTTCAGTTTGTTCCGCTTTTTATTTGCTGTCAGGGTGGAGTGAGGACGTCCAGCTCCTTGCTGGATCAGAAACTGGAAATCTATGTGCTGTTAGGGTGGAGGGAGGACGTCCAGCTCCTTGCTGGATCAGAAACTGGAAATCTCAGTGGTGTCTTTAAACATGTTCACTCTGTATCCATGTGAAATTCAGTTTTGAACCTTTCATTACAGAAAGTTTCCCAAGTACTTGCCTAAAGGGTCACACAGACATCATATTCCCAAAATAAAAATAGGGTATAAATGGTGCTTTGAAGTATTGTTGGGAAGAGCCTGAAAAACCATTTAAAAACATTTATTTCATCCAGTAGTCCTCCCCAGTGGAATCTAAAGAACTGTTACTGGATCCCAAGCCAAAACTATGCATTGTTGAAACATTTTGATCATGGAGAAGTTTTCTAGGCAGAGGATGATGAAGCCTGTTCTTTTCAGAAGAACGACTGTATGGAATAGCTTAATGGAGTGGGAAAATGTAGGGTTCTTAGGGGAGTCATAAATGCTTTAATATGAACAGGAAATGAGATGAGAGTGAAGGTGTATGGGTGAGGAGACGCGAGGAAAAGGATAGGAAAGCAGGAAAATATGGAGCTTGAGAGCCCTTAGGTTCCATGCCAAGGAGCTCAACTCGATCACATGGTGCAAACAATTCCCACCGTGTTTTCTGAAACCCTGGGATCTTTTAGGGATTCAACAACAGTTGGCTTTCATGTTCATTTCAAAAAGGAGCCTTTTTTTTTTTTTTTTTTTTGAGACGGAGTTTCGCTCTTGTTACCCAGGCTGGAGTGCAATGGTGCGATCTCCGCTCACCGCAACCTCCGCCTCCTGGGTTCAAGCAATTCTCCTGCCTCAGCCTCCCGAGTAGCTGGGATTACAGGCACGTGCCACCATGCCCAGCTAATTTTTTGTATTTTTAGTAGAGACGGGGTTTCACCACGTTGACCAGGATGGTCTCAATCTCTTGACCTTGTGATCCACCCGCCTCGGCCTCCCAAAGTGCTGGGATTACAGGCTTGAGCCACCGCGCCCGGCCCGGGGAGGTAGATTTGAGAGCTGTTCTTTCACCTCTTCCCTTGGTGCTCTTGCAAATATCTTCCCTTCTGCAAAACCCATGTCACAGTTATTGAGTTACTGCAGGTGAACCAAATGGACCTGGACCTAACTGGTAACAGACCTTTATGTGATACAACTAAACTCCCCTGTATGTCTTCCTGTCACTTCCTACTGACCCTTAGGTTACACCCCCAATCCATAATGTTCATGTGTCACTGGAGCTGTCTCTCAGATACAGTTATCAAAGGTAATATAATCTTATAATAATCATGATGATCTTTCTAATACTCTGCTGGCTTGGTTCTTACCCCTTTTTAAGCCCTTGTTTTATTTTATTTATAATCGACATATAATGAACGTATATATTTATGAAGTACAATGTGATGTTTCATTGCGTGTATGGATTTGACAACGACCAAATCACTGTAATTAGCATATCCATCACGTTAAGCATTAGCCATCTTTTTCTGAGAAAACGTCAAGTCAGCTCTCCTGGTAACCTTGACATATGTAAGACGTGATTGGATATTGTCAGCCTACTGTACAAGAGACCACTGGAATACATTCTATCTCACTTTACATTTGTATGTGTTCAACAGCCTCTTCTCGTCTCATCCCTTTACCATTTCTAGTCTCTGGTAATTACCACTCTTCTCTCTACTTCTACGAGATCAGCTTTTTACATTCTACATGTGAGTGACATGTGGTCGTTATCTTCTTGTTCCTGGCTTCTTTCACGGAACAGAGCGTCCCCTGGGTTCATCATGCCACTGCAGATGAAGGGATGTCATGCTGCTTTGTGGCCGGATCGTGTGTGTGTGCGCATGCGTGTGTACACATGTACATATATTCCACGCTTTATCTGTTTATTCGTAGTTGGGAACTTGGTTTGATCCAGCATCTTGGCTATTGGAATAGTAGTATGATAGATATGGAGTGAAGACAGTTC